GGTGACACACGCCTGTAATCTCAGCAATTTGGGAGGCTGAGGTAAAGGGATCGCAGTTGGAGGACAGCCTCAGCATTTTAGTGCCGCAGTCTGGCTGGGCACAAATCACTGAGCCACCACAAAGCACTTGTATGTTCAAACAGGAAACTTTATTGCCTGAACTCCAACAGCACTCCACGCACACTCCACGGGAACTCTCCCGAACGCCACCCACGCGGCCCCTCTCCGGCACACCATACCAACTGGAACCCCCTCCACCAGACAACGCAAACTCCCCAGGAAATCCCCAGGAGAACTCCAAAGTAGCGGGCGCCCTAGACAGCAGGGGTCTATATACAATTGAATCAATCCAGCATCATCTTAATGGCTCGCCTCTCAAACATTACTTCTGGCAAAAATGCCAGGGGCCATTCCGACTTGGCTGTGGCTCTCAACATTTTAGAGAAGGCTTAAGCAATTTAGTAAGACCCCAAGGAATAAAAAAAAGGGCGGGGGGCGCTGGGGATATAACTCAATGGTAAAGCTTCCTTAGATTCAATCCCCAGGACAAAAAAAAAAAGGGGGGGGGGTCCACTTTCACCAACCTCCCTAGCTTCAAAAACTTATTTGCTGATTGCAGAAATCTTAAACCAAGGATATCTTTTGAGAGACTAAACCTTCTTGTTATTTGACTTGTGGTGTTCTGTAGGTGAGGGGCCCTTCCCTGGGATCATCGATCTGTTTGGAAGTGGTGGTGGCCTTTGTGAATACAGAGCCAGCCTCCTGGCTGGGCATGGTTTTGCTGTGCTTGCTCTGGCTTACTTCAGATTTGAAGACCTCCCTGAATATTTGAGTGATATGCGCCTGGAGTACTTTGAAGAAGCTGTAGACTTTATGCTACAACATCCAAAGGTGAGTTCTGGTGCTTGCTGAATTCAGAGGAGAGGGGGTCAAGTGGACACAGGGCTGGATTCAAAAGCCCTACCAGGGCACTGGAACTAGAAATAAGCAGGAAGACACAGTGCTCCTTCAAAAGTTACTAGTAATATTCTTTCCATGTCCAACCATCTTTCTCCCATCTGTAAGACTTGACTGTTCAGTTTCTTTTGTAACCATTTACTATAATCCAAAAAGCAATAAAACAATACTAACTTTGAGTTTTGGTTCTGTATATACCACACAGCAGCCTAATCATCCTGAATAAGGCAATTGATCTCTCTAAAGTTTAATTTTTCTCATTTATAATATTAATGTAAATGTGTAGTGGGAAAAGTTTGAGTATACAGAGACATTTTTGAGATAATTGGTGACTTTTGAATAGGAATTGTGTATTTGATGATATTAAGGAATCATTAATGTTAAGTGTAATAATAGTATTATGGTTTGATAAAAGAAATCTTTGATAACAGAAAAAAAGTTAATTCAAACATTTTGGTATGATTATAAATAATGGAATGATACATACTCTTTGCTACCATCTAGATTTAAAGAGACCCAAACATTCTAATACTAAAGATAAAATGTTCTTCAAGGCCTGTGGGATAATCTAATCTTATTGGAGTTTAGGGACTGGTCTCTTAGCAAAGTTGCTAAAACCTAGATGACCTTAAACTGCGAAGGGTAGTTTATTTAGGGGAGATAAGGCCCTGAAAAAATAAGAACCCAACATATACTACCAATTCTGCGCTTAAACCTGAAGGAAAGACTTTCATTCTCCACCTTTTAGTTTAGATTATCATACTTTGGCCCTCCTTTGATTGGACCCCTGCCCATAGAATAAGGCGGCTGAGGGACCAAGGGATTGTGTCCACCTGGAACCCACATGCTCTCCACCATGCCCTTGGGATCTGGAAACCCAGATTCTCTGCCTAACAGCTCTGACCCTGCTTCCTGCTCTATGCTCCTTCTTTGGGTCCATCAGTATGTATACTACACCTAGGCTTTAAACATGCATACTGGGTGTCTACACACAAATATGAGAGGTCCCTCAAGGTATATAAAGGAGCCTGGAGTGGGAAGAGAAGGAGGCTGGCCCAGAGGCTGGAGTCAGTGATTGACTTGTTTTCCATGCCATGTCCCAATACAGAATTCCAGCAAGCTCTAAGATTTTAAATTTGAACCTGACCTTATAAATTGTTATGGTGGTGTATTTATCAAGCTTGGGGAAAAGAATGATGCATTTATTTAACAGTTTGCTCATTTGACTTAGAGTATAAGGGCCTCTGTGTATATTCTTGACCCAGACTTCATACATATTAGGGGATGGCCTATATACTAGGAAATCAATTAATTTGTTTATTAGAAGACAACTTGAACTTCATAGATGTTGCATAAGAAAGGGAAGAAAATTGTATGTGAGAAAGCTATTTAGAGAATGTGAAATCATTGTTTTGGTCCTCCACTTAGGAATTCTAAACTTGTTTTCTCTTTATTTTCTTATCAGGTGAAAGGTCCCAATGTTGGGCTTCTTGGTTTCTCCAAAGGAGGTGACCTATGTCTCTCAATGGCTTCTTTCTTGAAGGGCATCACAGCCACTGTACTTATCAACGCCTGTGTGGCCAACACAATAGCTCCTCTGCATTACAAGGATATGATTATTCCTGATCTTGGCAATGAGCTAAGTAACAAAAAAATCACTGAGTCAGGCCTTTTGAATTTGGTAGACATCTGGAAAAATCCACTGGAGGAACACAACCATCGAAGTCTTATTCCACTGGAAAAGGCACAGGGACCCTTCCTGTTTATTGTTGGCCTGGATGATCATAACTGGAAAAGTGAATTCTATGCTCATATAGCCTCTGAAAGGTTACAAGCTCATGGAAAAAACAAACCCCAGATAATCTTCTATCCAGAAACTGGCCATTGTATTGATCCACCTTACTTTCCTCCTTCTACAGCCTCTGTGCATGCAATTTTGGGTGAAGCAGTATTCTACGGAGGTGAGCCTAGGGCTCATTCAAGGGCACAAGAAGATGCCTGGCAGCAAATTCAAATTTTTTTTCAAAAATATCTCAATGGTAAAAAATCTGTCCAGCACAGCAAAATATGACTTTGCAATCATAGACCAAATATCATTCATAAAAATATTAATTCTACAATTTCTGTTAGGCTTGCCAGAACACTTAGGAAACTTTTTATCACAAAAGCAAACAGCTTCCTTGTCAGGTCCTGCTGGACTCAGCCTTTTCAACCCTCCTTCCTTCGCTGCTGGACCCATTCCTCTCTCCCTGAACTTTACCCAATGTATAGATTTAAACCTGATCTTATCTGTATAGGATTAATCTTCTTTTAGGCAAAAGAAATGTAAGAAGTGCTTGCCTGACTCTCAGTTGCTGGTCTACCTTTAGCCTTGTGTCTAGTTCTGAGGATGAGTTTCCGTATTGTTCTGAAATCTCATTTCTCCTTTGGGCCCTAATTGATCTAGTCTGAGCTTTGGAAACTTTCCCACTCAGGTCCCAAAAATATGGCTTCTGCCACATTTTTGCCATTATGCATTCCTGAAAATTTACTCAAGCCTTGTCCCCAACCGCTAGACTGATGACTGGGGGCATGTCCCTGTTGATATACTTTCTTTATGTTTACCATCTGTATGGATTCCCAGTCACTATATGGTCCCTGCCTGTCAGGAGGAATGCCCTTGATGCTAAGATTTCAGGACTCTACCTTGCGGGCCATGGCCTTCATCTTTGGATGTCATGTATACCTGCCAAATCATACTTCCTCCCAGCACCATCTTGCTCCTGTTACTTTCCATGAGGGAAGGACTAGAATGGATCTGCTTCAACCCACTGCAGCTGAAGCACAATCTAGAGTCCGGAGATACCTGAGCACAAGAAATTTTTTTCTGAGACATCGGAGAAAACCTGAAGCTTTCTTCACATAAAATCATGGTTTCCTGGGACTGAGGTTTGGCTTAGTGGTAAAGCACTCACCTAGCACGTGCAAGACACTGGGTTTGATCCTCAGCACCACATAAAAATAAATAAGTAAAATAAAGATTTGGTGTCCAACTACAACTAAACAAATATTTTAAAAGATCATGGTTTCCTGGGTACTTACAAAATCTTTTACCAAATTGAGTCTATCCAAGCAAATGCCCATTTGGTCCTAATGAATGAAATGAAAGGTTCCAAAGAGGTAACTTGATTTTGACTAACTGTTAAAACTCTGGAGTGCAGTCATTCACCATATAGTATAATTTTCCATGATTTTAGCCCACAGCCAGCACAGGCTTCATAAATGAAGGTTCAGCTACGTGAGAAATCCAAAAGGGAGTTTGAATTAAAGAGACAGACTCTAATTACCTTTAAACCAGCTCCAGGACGGCTTCTCCTACCTCCAGCCTCAAGCTACCTATTAGGGTAGCTAGGTTTACTGAAGAGGCCAGTGAGAGACAGAACACGACAGGGAGTGGACTTTTATTGGGGAACAAAAAATTCTGGGGAAAATCCCATCCAATGAAGATTAGGGGGGGGCAGTGTCCCAAGGTCAGATGCAACAATTGGGTCTTTAGGGGTTGTGGCCAGACATAATTCCACACGGACAAGCCTTCAGACCTGAGAAGGGTGGGGAAAGCTCTGGACACAAAGATGTGTCTAAGCGTCTCTTGCCCAGCCAGGAGGTAACTCAAATCACGTGCGAGGATGGCCTCCCACCATGAAGAGACTTCTGAGAGTCTCAACTTTAACTCACTCCCTGGTATACCTTCCACTCTAAAGATGGGTTGGGAAAGCCAACTAATTACACAAATTTTACAACATCCATAAAATAAAAGCAAAGCTTAGAAATCAATTTCTCCCAAAGATTATCGCACGAAGACATATTAAGTGATGTAAAAGTTAGTATCACTGGGGATGCCTCTACAAGAGAGAGAGATCAGGCTCCACCACTTATTACTAACCTATAAGTTGTTAAAACTGTCTAGACCTCCATTTCCTCAACTATGAAGTAGGGGGAAAAATAAAGTAGGTATAATAAAAAGCACTTCACCGCACTGTTATGAATAAATTAGACAACCCACATAAGGCACTTGATATAATTTAACTGTCAGCTGTTAGCTATTATTTCTTCAGGTGGGGAGATTGGAATCTGGGAGGATTAAGAATCACATCTAGTTGGTGGGAGAGTTGAGTCAGCCCAACTCTGTACTCGAATGCCAATAATTTTTACTTGAAGCTCAGTGGCTCAAAGTAGTTGACACCTAAAAGGAATTCAAGTGGAGACACTTTTTAAAGAGGAAAACAATAAACAGCAAATCAGAAAACATAACACAGTTGAGCCCAGCATGGTAGTGCACACCTGTAATCCCAGCAACTCAGGAGGCTAAGGCCAGGGAATCACAAGTTTGAGGCCAGCCTTGGCAACTTAGTGTGATCCTGTCTCAAAGTAAAATTAAAAAGAAAAGCTGGGAATGTAGCCCAGAGGTAAACTCTCCTGAGTTAAATTCCCAGTACAGAAGGATGGGGAGAAGGGGAGAAGGGGAGGAAGAAAAGGAAAATATAGCCAAGTTTAGAGTAGAATGGTGATTACTAGAGGCTGGAGAGTGGGGGCAGGGGGAGGTTGATCAATGGGTACTAGGTTACAGTTAGAAGTAAGAAGAGTGTGTCAAAACACAGGAGGGTGACTATAGATGATGATAAGCTACTATATGTTTTTAAAAGCTAGAAGGAAGGATTTGGGATGTCTTTACCATAAAATATGAATAAATGTTTGAGGAGACCTGACATAAACACTACATAATGTATACACGTATCAAAACATCACATGGTACCCCATAAGTATATATAACTTTTATGGTCTTAGGTGTCACTTAAAAATATTTTTGCAGGCTGAGGTTGTTGCTCAGTGGTAGAGCACTCACCTAGCATATGAAAAGCCCTGGGTTCAATCCTCAGCACCATATAAAAATGAACAAATAAAATATTGTGTCCAACTACAACTAAAAATAAATAAATAAAATATTTTGCAAGCCTATTATGTATTTCAGGCAATTTAAAACAAAAAAAAATACTTATTTATTCCAAATTTATCACAACTAAGCTATTTTATACACTTATTTAATTAAATTATTTAATTTATTTATTTAGGGTACCAGGGATTGAACTCAGGGACACTTAACCACTGAGCCATATCATATGCCCTGTGGGAAGCCATTCTCACACGTGATTGGGCACCTCCCGGATTGGGTGTGAGGCGCTCTGGCTAAACTGTGTCGGAGCTTTCCCCACCCTCTCCTGGTGCGAGAGCCTGTCCGTGTGGGGGTGTGACTGACCCTGACCTTGGAGTGCTGCCTCCCTCGACCTTCATTGGATGGAATTCTCCCCTGAATTTCTTGTTCCCCAATAAAAAGCCACTCCCTGGCGTGCTCTGCCTCTCTCTCTCCTGCTAGCCCTGAGTAATCCTTGCTGCCCTACCAGGTGGTTCGAAGTGTGAGCCAGAAAGGTGAGAGCCGTCTTGGACCTGGTCATAGAAAAAGGTAATTGAGTCTGTGTGTTTTATTTTGATCTCACTAGCTAACTTTTATGCCAAGAACCTCTTTAATGAAACCAGTGCGCTGGTCTCATGGTGGAAACGCCCTATTTTGTATTTTATTAGAGACAGGGTCTCACTGAGTTGCTGAGGGCCTTGCCATTGCTGAGGCTAGCTCTGAACTCTTGATCCTTCTGTCTCAGCCTTCCAAGCTGCTGGGAGTACACAGGCATGTGCCACTGTGCCCCACTACACTCATTTTGAATGACCTTTGAACTCTGAGAAAATCAAAGCTCGTGGAAGACATTATATTTTTGTAGGTGTTAAAATGCAGGTATGTACAAATTCCAATATTCATGGCCAGTGTAATGATGGGTTTGGAGGCAAAAGTAAAATATTTGAGTAGTTTTTCCATGCATATATGGCTAAAGGACCACACAGACAAGGACTTTAACAAGTACTTTCCAAAGAAAACAGAATTGTTAGATTACTCTGTGTTGCAATGGGCAAAGGAGCAACATATGCAGTTGAGGGGAGAAAAAAAGAATGTCCATGCGCTATGCCTTTTTCAATGCTTTGTTCACTCAAAATCAATACAATTTCACCCTATAGGTTCTTAATCAAGAAATGACAATCCTTAATGCTGGGCACTTCAAACCCAATAATTCAGGCTGAGAAAAGCAATAAACACAATTTAATTCCAAGCAAACAAATTCTAAGTTAACTCTAAGCACTGCAAACACTCTTAATCATGACAGACCTATTACAGACATTCCCTCTGCATGCTAAGCTTAAGTGCTAGATTTAAACTCTTAAGTCTTAGGTCTTAAGTCCAGAAGATGCACACTCACTCAGACCACTATGATCGGGTCAGGAACTGACAGAGGCTTTGCCTGGTGTGGAGTTGACAGCTGGCTGAGGAGACGGTTGGTCCTAAGGAGAAGTCGCCTTTTTCACCAGGGTCAAGAGACTGCTGTAGAGTTTGAAAGCAGTGAGGACCATGCAGAGGATCAGGCAGATGATGAGAAGAGTTGGGATGTCAGTCTAGGTTCTCATCAGGCTTTCAGGGTATGTGCATCAGCATCGGCTGGCTTGAATGTCTGTTCATTTGCTCCATTATTTATACTAAAATTTTGGGCTTCTACATGCCTTTTTGGTCCCTATCAGCTATTACCAGGTTTCTTACATCAGGGCCTATGGTCTGGTGGTTTCCACCCTGATATTACCCTTCTGACTCTTATCAGGGTTAAGGCAAATGACATGTTTATATCAAGTGACTTCACTCTGACTCTTATCAGGGATGTGGAAAGTGACTTGCTTTTATCAGGCTATGCCTTATGACATATTAGAGGGCTCTGTGGGCTTGTGCATGGTGAGACTGCAGGTTTATTTTAAAATGGAGTTCCTTAGGCTAAGGCCATCCTTCCACTCTGAACCAGAAAGTCTTGGTGCAATCCCATATGCTCTCAGTATTGATTAGATTCAGAAATTAGGATGCATAACAATTATTATTTATAGTAATGAAATAAAACATTTGAAAATGTGATTGTTCCCCAAAACTCAAGATTTATATATACACCATTTTCCTTGACAAGCAGTTTAATTGAATGTGTTCACCTGGATTATTTAACCTCATTTTACCCATGCATATGAATTAAGGTGGAATTCTATAGTAGAAATTAAATTTTAATTTAGGCTTAATGCTACATTCTTCACCATAAGAGATTCAAGTAATACAGACAAAATAAGATTCTTTTATCTTAATAAAAGAATACCAGTCTTCTCCCAAGTTTATTACTGTTACAAATTGAAGTGTACCCTTTCAGAACTTTTTTAAAATTCATATACACACAAATATATGAATGGATGAGAAAATACGGTTTTATTTCATGGGTTCAAAGCCACACCCACAAAAAAGCCAAATATAAAAGGTATATGCTGTATTATTTTTTCTGCATACAAAAATATACATTAATACTTGTGCCAGACCACAGGAGAACAGAGTTTATTTCTTTTTTTTTTTTCTTTTTTAAATACATGACAGCGGAATGCATCACAATTCTTATTACACATATAGAACAATTTTTTATATCTCTGTTTGAATATAAAGTATGCTCACACCAATTCATGTCTTTATACATGTACTTTGAGAGTTTATTTCTTTATACCTCTTATTCTACTTTCTCAATGAAACAGCAAAATTTGTCTTTTTATCCTTATCCCCTCCCTTGTCCCTTCCATCCCAACTGGGCTACTTTTAAGGTTTTCTGGCATTCAAGTCGGGACAATTTTCTGTGCTAGTTTCTGGTCTCACCCCCTGCCATATTATAGTTCAATCCAGTGTCTCATCTGAAACATTTAAACTTTAACCGCGACAGTCTGGGTCAAAGATTTGAATTTGGCAGGTACCTAGCACACGTGGCTTCCTTCTAGCAGGTTTAGGAAATAGTGCCCCTTGGTGGCCGGTGAGAGATTTTAGAGACGGCGACCAGCTGACATTCTTTTGTCAGAAATCTTTAATTTTTTGTTTCTCGGGTTAAGATCCTGTCTCTTTGGAGCGGGTTTTCTTCTCCCTCTTGCAGCTCTTTGCTAAGTGGGGCCCCAGGTCCTGTCTCTGGACCCTGGCCCTTCGACCCGTGCACGCCAGGCCATGTCATTCTTGGCTGGGGTCAAAGCCACCACGATGCCCGCACCCGGTGGCTAGCAGCCCGTGATGCACCTCCGAGCCCCGCTCCAGACCTGGATGTCAATGTCCACATCATCCCTTTTCTAGCAAAAGGCCACGACCTTGACGTCACACCCAAGACTAGGCTGGCAGACGAGCTCCTGGATATTCACGCGGAAGGATCATCGCGCGGCAGCGGGTGACCCGCCCGGCGTCTCCCACTCGCTTGTCCACTCCCAGGCGAACAGCCAAGAGGGGGGTGGGACCTGCCCAGCGACGGTGGGGCAGTGACTCCCCGGCATGCAGCTTCACGCCGGCCGGCCTTAACCAGATGCGTGGAGCAAGATGAAAACCCCCCATCGAAGTGGAGGTGACTGTCCACCAATGCGTCGTCCAGCAGGCGGGGCCCCTGGGCCCTGCGCTGATTCTCCACTCCAGAGCCGCGCCTCGCTGGGCTGCAACTCCGCCACCTGCTGGCCGTCTCCGGGATGCTGGGTACCGGAGGTCTTTCCGCAGAGCGCCTGGCCGCGGATTGGGGGAATTGACTGCCTGCTTTTCTTCACTAGCCAATTTGTCATCTGAAAACTAAGCGCTTAATTTTGTCTCCTAGATATCAGGTGGAACATTCATTCACCTAAATGTTGGCTGGGATCTAAATTTAATCATCTGCTTGCGTACTTCTCAAGACGGTTGCCCACCCTCCAATCTCCTAGTGTAGCAGACTGTTGTTTCTTGACAATATACCCTTACGGTGTTTGCTACGTGCTAAGCATAAAATTGCTGCAAACTTTCTGGCATTGACTGCTTGTTTGCCTCTTCCTACTAAGCGGATTTTTGTGTTAATTTAACTTTTCCTGTTGCCGTTTCTTGTTTCAAATGATAAGAGTCAGGCGTGGTGACACATACCTGCATTTTCAGCTACTCAGGAAGATGAGTCAGAAGAACGACAAGTTCAAGGCCTGCTTGGACAATTTAGAGACCCTGTCTCAAAAACTTAACCAAATCAAACAGTTAGGTGATACTAAAATCAGGGTGTGAGTCAAATTCTTTAAACGCCAAGCTCTGGCCTTTAAAGAATTTCATGCGAAAAGGTTGAGTGTATGAATCAATGACCTAAACAATTTGGTTTTCTTAATTTTAAGAGCCCAGTCTGGCTTATCCCTTATTTTGACCTCCAGGATTCTTAGGAATCGGATATTTTAAGACATAGCTGATAGGGGTAAGTTTTGGAAACATTGCAGAAGGTCCAACCAGATTTCCTTCCAGATGGGGGGAGTAAATTACTGAACCAAAATAAACAAATATATATATATATATATATATTTTCCTTTTTTTTTTTTTTTGAAACAGGGCCTTACTAAATTGCTGAGGAGCCACTAAATTACTAACACTGTCCTATGAATTTGAGATCCTTTTGCTTTAGCTTCCCACATTGCTGGGATTACAGGCATGAACCACTGAGCCCAGCCCAGATCAGTATCTTGAAGTCTGTGATTGAAAAATTATATTCCAAGAATGGTTTGAGGATCTCTATGCTTGTATATATATTCTGGTTTGCTTCAGAAATTAATCTTGGGAAGCTGGGGTTGTGGCTCAGTGGTAGAGCGCTTGCCTAGCATGTGTGAGACCCTGGGTTCTATTCTCAGCACCACATATAAATAAAATAAAGCTCCATCAACAACTAAAAAAAATTTTTTTAAAAAGAAATTAATCTTGGATCCAGAAATGGTTGAGGTTTATCTAGTTTTTAAAGAGGCAGATTAAGATATACAGAGATATTTGAATGTTAACAAAATCACTGTTGGGGCTGGTCTCAGTGGTAGAGTACTTGGGGGGCATGAGTGAGTCCCCGATCCCCAAGCATTTTCTTTTTCTTAAAAAAAGAAAGAAAAACAAATCGCCTTTGTGCTAAAGGACAGCTTCACAGTAGGGAGCTAGCCTAGCATGCTTGAGACCCTAATTTTTATCCCCAGCACTAAAAAAAAAAAAAATCACTTTGTAAAACTCAGAGCCTTAATATGTGCACCTGAGCTTTCACTTTAGTAGCTACATGTGTTCTAACTTGCCTCTAGACTTGTAAATTTAGAAATGGTCCCTGGCATTAGAATTTTATATCCCTTAATTTTGTTTTTTGTTTAATTAGATTTCGGTGACTCTAACTGTAACTTTTTTTTTTTTTAAGAGAGAGAGAGAGAAGAGAGAGAGAAGTTTTTAATATTTATTTTTCAGTTTTCAGTGGACACATCTTTATTTTATTTTTATGTGGTGCTGGGGATCAAACCCAGCGCCCCGTGCATGCCAGGCGAGCACTTTACCGCTTGAGCCACATCCCCAGCCCCTCTAACTGTATCTTAAGTTCATTTAGAAATTGAAAGGTTCTTTAGATTTGGATTTCTGGTTTTATTTGTTTAAATAAGGTATTATAATTTCATAACTTAAAGACTGTAGAACTATTTGCTTAAGTTTTTTAGGACTTATACTTCAAGCCAAAACTCTCTCCACATCTTTGATGCTAATTTTTACTTGTTTTCTATTTACCAGTGATTTTTACAAGGAAAACAAATATAAAAATATTTTTGCATTTACAGCTTCAAAGTAGTCCAAATAAATACCTATTTAAAAACAACAACAAATCATTTCAACTAAAACATGCTTTCTTTTCAAATAAAATAGGCAGATATTTTTTAAAAAGATAAATTATGCGATTATAATTTTATTTAGAAAGTGTTGTCTGGACATCAGAGTCTATTAAATGTATTTTCATCTAACCCAAAATTCATCCCCTTTTCTGGTTTATTTATTTATTTTCTTTTTTTATTTGTTCTTTTTAGTTATACATGATAGTAGAGTGTATTTTGACATATCAGATATACATGGAGTATAAGTTTCCATTCTTGTGGTTGTACATGATGTGGAGTTGTACATGATGTGGAGTTGCGCTGGTCATGTATTCATATATGCCCTTTCCTGTTTTATAGGAGATGGTCCTTTTCCTTATCTGAGTGACATGTTTGATGATGGAGGATTGAGTGAATCTCAAGCAAGTCTCCTGGCTTGTCCAGATTTTGCTACTCTGGCTTTGCCATTTTTGGCAAAGATCCACCTCTAATCATTAAGGAATTAAACTTAGATTACTTTAGAGGTGGCTAAATTTGTACAAAGCCCCCTAAAGATAAATGGGATGGGAAAGAGAAATACATTTAGGATGACCACATTAGGACCAGAAGAAAATAAAGTAGTACTAATGGGTTAGAAAATATAGCAAATACATGTTGAATTAATAAACAAACAAAAGAGCTATCTGATAAACCCATAAAAGGCTTTCCTTTATTGAGGACTTTTTGACCCCCATTAATAATCATACTTTTTTCCTTCTCTTTCCATATTTGTCTCCCCCCCCACCACCCGGCTTTTGATCTGCAGGTCAAAAGTCCAAACATTGGAATGATTGACTCCTGCAAAGGGACAGAATTGGCATTTTCCTTTGGTAGCTTGCTTCCAAAGGGCAGATACTGGGGGTGTAGCTCTATGGTATAGTGCTTGCCTAGCAGGAGCAAGGCTCTGAATTTAATCCCCAGCACTGGAAAAGAAAGGAAGGAAGGAAGAAAAGAAAGAACCCCCGGGCTAGGGCTGTAGCTCAGTGGTAGATCGCTTGCCTAGTACGTATGAGGCACTGGGTTCGATTCTCAGCACCACATAAAATAAATAAAATAAAGTCACTGTGTCCATCTACAACTAATAAAATAAAATAAAAAGATTGCTGCAATTCCTTAAAAGAAAGAAAGAATCCCAAATACAGATGCAGTTGTGACATCAATGGCTGCATCAGCAATTCCCCAGACATGTTGTAGTTTAATCCTGCCAGGAATGCTATTTGGTCTAGACAAAATCTCTGCCACTAATTTGGGAGCATACAAGTTTAAGAAGCCCTGGAAGACCCCATGGATCCAGCCCATCAGGAAAATCTTATCCTTTTTGAAAAAGCCAGTGCCTATTTCCTTTTATGGTTGGAGAGCATGGGAGGCATTGGAAGAGCTCTGTTTATGCTGACCTAGCTATGAAGTACTTCACAGAAGAAAATTTTCACTCTTCTAAGCTACCCTTGTGCCGGACACAAAATAAGTCCTTCTTATAGCCCTTTTTTCTCTGTAGACCTGGATTTTATATTAGGGGTGCCTGCTTTAGAAGGTGAGCAGCTCATGCTATTGCTCAGACTGAGTCTTGGAAAAAAATCTTGGAATTTTTGCACTTGCACATAGAGTAAAGGCTAACTAGACAGTAAAGTTCAGAATATTTTTCAGAGTAAATCAAGAGAATCCAGGCCCTCATGCATGCTAGGTGAGCACTCAACCACTGAGTTTTACCCCAATCCAGAATAGTTTTGAAAAATGATGACGGAGATCTGAACTTTTCATGGACATCTGCAAACTTTTAAAAGAAGTGAAAATACTCTATTCAAGTACATCACACCCTATAGCTTTGTAACTATCCATGTTTCCATGTCTGGTTTGTTTGAGCTTTAGCTCAAGGTAATTGCAGATTGAAAATGAGCTTTCAATCTTCCATTTCCCCACCCTTCTCAACTATCTTCTCTGTCACCCTCTATATTCCCAAGGATTTTGCGTATCTATCCCAAACATTTTAGATATGTTTTGAACAGGGAGAAATACATGAATTTAGGCCATTGGTTTTATGATGAGGAGCCACTGGGTTATGATAATTTTCTCATAATACTCAGAAGCTAAAGTGAATTTCAGCAGGACAATACAGAGGCTAGTTGATGGTAGACTGAAGTCACAGAATCTTTTCTGCTGTTAATAATAATTTGATATTTTTCTAGTTGCCACCTCTTCCAGAATCTTTAGAGAAAGTTAGCAACCCTCAGATAATTATTGCCTTAAAAATGGCAATCAATTACTGAGAAACCCTTGCTTTGATTCTCCCTTATCTCTGTATTCATAATTTTAAAAACTTCACATTTTAGGTCAAAACTATACTTTAAAATAGGCAGATTGTAGGTTCTAGTCCAAAATTGGTAACTACATGTGTAGACGATGTAATTTCTGACAGAAATATAGAGTTCCTCTCTCCTACCTTTTGCTCCTCCACCAAAAAAAGTTACAGTATGTGGGTGAGGTTTAACTTCTCAAAATAATCATAGATAAAGTTTTGAGTTTTTATTCCAAAGTTTTAAAATGTGTAGAATTGGAAGAAATTGCTAGCTTTTGACTTTGGTTGCTCCATTGATCTTGCGTTCAGAATATGGGAAGGGGGTTCTCGTCTTTGCAAATTGAAGAGCTGTCACTCTAGTTTGTAATATTAATAGTTCCTTCCCCAAGTTAATGTTATTTTAAAAATTGAATTCAAGTTTCAGATTATTACCCCAACCAAAGAAGTGTGTGTGTGTGTGTGTATGTGTGTTTGTGTGTGTGTGTGTGTGAGTGTACACCTCCAGATATGGGGGTGGGGGTTCATGTTGTAGTGGCACCCCCTCCTCCACAAAAAGTCTTAACTGGGCTTCTCCAGAAATCTTCACCATGGCTGATTTTAGGACTGTCAGCAAAAGAGTCTCTACGAAAGAGTTCAATGTAGATAAACTTCCTATTTTCGTGTTGCCCTATTTTACTTGGCGACTGGTCGGGAAGAAATCAGCACTGCAGATGCAGGACACCCCCTTACTAGTTTTTCACAAACATGTATCCAGTATAGTAGTTTATAGAAATGTGCAAACAAGGCCTCTGGCCTTGAGCTGGGCTTCACAGAGATGTCTACATTTCTAAGATAAGAGATGTTACCAATTAAGCCCCATGGTAACAGCTGGCAGCTGGAGGGAAGAAAGGGGAGAAGAAGCTCTCCCCTTCTCAGGTGTTGTCCTTGAAGGGTTAACTTGCCCAAAACAGTGAAAGAAAAAGCTGCTTTTATGTGAACTTCTGCAGACTGTGAACTTCTGAGCCCCTCCCCTTACATGCTAGGTATAAAATTCTGAACCTACCTGAATTCCTGGTTCAGAATCAAGGATTGATTGATTAGAGCAAAAGCTGTGCCCTCTAATTCTGGCTGCAGCCAAATAAAACTGTTTCCTGCTAACTTTGGTGCCTTGCCACGTCTGTCCCTACACAATGTAAAATTTTACAGACAGGGTTTTTTTTAATATTTATTTTTTTAGTTTTAGGTGGACACAATGTCTTTATTTTACTTTATGTGGTGCTGAGGATGGAAGCCAGTGCCTCACTGATGCTAAGTGAGTGCTCTACCTCTGGAGCCACAACCCCAGCCCTACAGAGAGGTTTATTTTAACACAAACCAAAACACAATAAGGGAAGAAATAGACTTTTAAAAAAATATCATCAAATAACTACATTGGAATCGTAATTGAGAAATTGACTATGGAAATTTGATACAATGCTCATTCTAATTCCAACTGATAAACCTCTTGACTATATAAACAACCTTAAGAATTAGTGATTAGGGCTGGGGTTGTAGCTCAGTTGTAGAGCACTGACCTAGCATGTGTGAGGTAATGGGTTGGGATCTCAGCATTTTACATAAATAAATAGGCAAAATAAAGGTCCATTGGCAACTAAAAAAATATTTAAAAAAAAGAATTAGTGATTATTACAGCTATTTTGCACAATCTCTAATCATCTGTTAAATGTGACAAGTTTTCCTCTTTTGTTCAATCCACATTTTGTTTAAAAATTAAAGATTTCTTAATATATTTGGTTCTGTTTTTGATCATTTATGCAATTTTATATGTATTTATCAAAGAATGCTAGATTTTATGAATTTGGGGAAACTTTCAAGACTACATTTAGCTTTCTTTTATCCATGCCTGAAATAAGAGCAAACCAACCTCAAGCCACATTTTCTGGGGAGCAGCTTTTAGAATCCATTTCATCATTAAACAGGATATAAAAGAATAAAGAAAGAATCCAAGTATAGTTCTTTTGTTTCCTAGATGACAGTCTTAGCCTTAAAGAATCTGAAATTCAAAACATTCTTGATGTGAAATTTGCCAAGTTATTGTGAACTAATTATGGAAGAAAAGTAAATTTCTGATGAAATACAGTTCATATAGTGGTAGATGAAATGAATTCATGGTCAAAGTTTATGACTCTAATGACAAAGAGGAAATAGAAGTAAGATTCTGAAAAGGCATAAAGATACACACACACACACACACACACGCGCGCGCGCGCGGCACATGCCTGTAATGCTAGTGGCTTGGGAAGCTGAGGCAAGAGGATCGCAAGAAGATTGCTAGTTCAAAACCAGGCTCAGCAATTTAGGGAGACCTTGTCTTTAAATAAAATATACAAAAAGGACTGGGAATGTGGTTTAGTGGTTAAGCGCCCCTGGGTTCAATCCCCCTGGGGGAAGAAGATTGATATTTCACCATTAATGCTATTTGCATAGAGTATAATCCACTATTTTGAGTAAAATGAATATACAACTGGGTCTCAGTGGGACTTTGGGGCTGGTCACAGGGAGTGCGTAAGTTTTTAAAGCTTCAGAAAGACTGTGTCAATTACAAACAGCAGTATGTTAGTGTCTATTCTCCATTCTTCTAGCAACTCTATAAAGACACTCATTTATTTGCAATTTTAGCTATTCTGATACGTGGGAACACCTCAGTTCTGTAACACCAACATTTTGTGACAATTTAAGTGTGAAGCCCAGCTTTCAGGGTGCCTCTGGCTCTCTGGAGGACCAGGGGTAAAGATACAAAAAATTCTATCGAGTTTAACTCTGGGTATTCTCCGATGGCCAGGTAAATTACACACAGTAGGTAGTTTATTCTCCCCGGTTAAGAAAAGATGGGAAAGACAGTCTTCAACGGAAAGGGATTTTGTAAGTTCTGAGAAAAATGCTATCGGGAGGTTTTAAAGATTTCAACGTCATTCCAGATCGGCTGAAAATGCTTTCGGAAGGGAAAAGGACATCTCCCCACCACTGGTGGCGGTTAAGCTCTCCTGCCCTCGGCTGTCGGCAGGGAAGCGGCAGTCAGGCGGGAGGACCCCGACCCGCGGAGCTGTCCCACAATGCCCCGCTCCCGCCACCCCAAGGGCGGAGAGGAAGGACCGCTGCCGGGGCAGGCGTCCGCGGAGAGCACCGAGAGCTGCGCATGCGCACTTAACGCGGAGGGCCCTAGCAACCGGAGCAGTGACAGTAGCAACCGCCGGAATGGTGAGTACCCTCCGGGCCTCCTAGCCAAAGCTGAGATGAGGTTGGGACTGGAAAAGGGTGACTGTGAAGTGTTGAGGGCCGCGGGGTTTTCGAACAGCGGAAGGGAGTCGATAGCGGATGTTGGCTCAGTGGAGTCCGAGGCCTGAGGCGAAAGGAAAGCCCTGGCAAAGGGTGGTCTGGGGTGAGGGTAGCCTGAGACTGGTTGGAAGTTGGGTTAAGATAGAGGGGCCCTGGCAGAAGAAAAAGGAGGGCGAAAAGCAGGAAGTTTTCGGGACAAAGATGATGGTAAGGGGGATGTGGATAAAGATAGCTCTTTACGTAGCAATAATTGTAACTCCCCCACCCCCTGTTGAGATGGAGGGAGCTCGGGCTAGTTACGAGGGGGGTCAGTGTAACACCCATTGGCAGCAGTATCCCTAACCTGTGAAGTGCCCAGATTGCCCTCCGAATGACTGTAAGTGCACTTATTAGGTAACGCTGATGGAATATACTAGGGCAGTGTTTCTCAAATTTCAATATGCATAAATTTGAGCTTGTTGGAATGCAGATTATTAATTTTTAATATGATTGGGTGTTCAGGAATGTGCATTTCAACGATGCACCTCAAGTGATTCTAAAATTGGGGAGCATCACACCACACTTAGAAAAATCCTTCTGCCTTCGATTTAAAACCAACCAGGGGTTTTGTCCAATCAGAGCTTTTATGAAGTAATGATTTTGCCGAGTGATGCTTCTCAGCTCCTAAAGTGTGCACTTACTCTCTTGCTTACCTACTTGGTAGTTCTAACTGATAGTTTGAAAAGGTTTACAGATCCAGCTAAAGTTATTTAGCAAAGATGTGATTGTCCTGCTGGATGGAGATGTTGATAAAGAAATATTGGGACTAAGAGTATAATTCAGGAGTAGAGAGTTTACCTAGTAAGGTGATGCCCTGGGTTCCATCTCCAGCACTGTGACATAGATAGATAGAAATAAATACAGGTCCACATAAATTTACATTTTTAATGTAGTTTTAAAAAGATAATATTACACATTAAAGCTCAGGTTTCTGGCTTCTCTGAAAAAAAATTTAACATTGGACACATGTTGCTATGGGCATAGGTGTGACTTATGCAGTCGAAGGGGAGAAATAAAGAATGTCCACGTGCTTCTGCCCTTTCAATGCTTTATTCACTCAAATCACTCAATAAATTTCACTCTATAAGTTCTTTTTTTTATGTTATTGATGGACACCATACCTTCATTTATTTAGCTTTATGTAGTGCTGAGGATCGAACCCAGGGCCTCACACATGCTAGGTGAGTGCTCTACCATTGAGCCACAACCACAGCACTCTATAGGTTCTTAATTAAGAAAATGACAATCCTTAATGCTAGGCACTGCAATAGACATAATCAATTCACTGTGAACAATTCTAGATTAATTGTAAACACTGCAAACACTCTTAATCATGAGAGACATTCCCTCTGGATGCTAAGGTCAAGTGCCAGGTATAAAGTTTCAAGCCTTAGGCTCTAAGTCCAGCAAATGCACACTCACTCAAACTGTGGTGATCAGGTCAGGACCAAGGCAGGCTTCTCCTGGGGTGGAGCTGATGGCCAGTTGAGGAGAGGGTCGTAGGGAAAAGTTGCAGTTCTCACCAGGGTCAAGAGTTTGAGAGCCGTGAGGAAGATGCAGAAGATCAGGTAAATGATAAGAGTGGTATGTCAGTCCAATCCTCATCAGGCTCTCAGGCGTGAGGGCATCAGTGTCAGATGGCTGAATGTCTGTTCATTTGCTCCATTTATACTAAATTTTGGGGCTTCTGACCACCCTTTCAATCCCTATCAGCTGCCACTGGATTTCATCATTTGTCCTGGGGTTAAGGCATCTGGTCTGGTGGTCCCCACCCTGATTTTCTTGCCTTTTCCCCTTATCAGGGTGAGAGCAACATGACAGAGACTTCACTCTGAGCTTGTCAGGGTGGGGAAAAGTGACTTGTTTATGTCAGGCCTATGCGATCGAATTGGAGGGCTCGGTAAGCATACTGGGTGAGACTGCAGGTTTCAAAGTGGAGTTTTAAAATGGAGTTGCTTAGGCTAAGGCCTAAGGCCATCCTTACAACACATTCTTTTCACATTTTAGTGTTATTGAAATATAATGGCTCATAACTGTCAGCATGTTTTCTTTCTTAATGGTATATAAAACAAGGGTGTTACAATTAGTGGAGTTTTTGTATTTGAAGAAATATGATGTTAGGATAATTCGTTTCCCCAAATCCCACCAGCCAACAGTTGTCTGGAGCCAAGTAGAAGTTATGCTCTTTAGTGGGCTCTGCCCTTAGCTGCTCAGATTTCATCAATTAATGATATCCATTTGGTCTTTCAGGCATTTGTGGGTTTTGACTCCTCCTGTTTATTAAGGGAAACAAGTGACCTGCAACAACTTATAATGCCACAGTAGACAGATAAATTGCTTCTCTTTCTACAATGTTGTGAAAGTGTTCTTTTGGTGGTGTCTTTTTATGAACTCATGCATGCAAGGATTTCTCTGGGAAAATCAACTAGGAATGGATTGTTCAGTGATAGGGTCTATGCATACTTTAAATTTCCTAGGTACTGTCATTGTGTTTTCCAGAATGGCTGGACCACTTTTTACTTTCTCCAGCAAAGTATAAGTGTTCCCATTTCTCTACATTCTCACCAACTCTCTCACTTTTATTGATCTGCAAATGTATCCAGTTGTTTTGAGTTTTTCTGATTTTCAGTGAGTTCAAACACCTGTTAATATTAGTTACCTAAGTTTAAGTTTCTGTGAATTGTCTGTTTATATTTTTGCCATTTGTTTCCATTTTTATTTTTATTTGTAAAATTTAGGAGTTCCTTGGGTACACTAAGCCCTTTGTTGTTTTCAAATGAAAAATATTTTCTCCCAATTTTACTGTTAAATTTGTCAGTGGTGTTCTTTACTTGTTGATTGTGTTTGCTCTAATACTGACCAGTTTATTCTTTTGGGTTTTCTTTACTGATGATCATCTGCACATGATGACAGTTTAATGTTTCAATCATTGCACTTTATATTTCTTTTGTTATAGTGTTTATAAAGATCTCTTGAGCCATAGTAAACAGTAGTAGTGATAGTGAGCATCCTTGATGTTTTTGGGACCTTGAAGGAAATACTTTTAATGTTACCTTTCCAGTTGAGCCCACTTTGACTACCTCATTTAAAATAAATATCCTCCACACACACATATACTTTCTGATACCCCGTACCAACCTTGAAGTTTTTTTAAAAAAATCTGAATAATTGTTATCTTCCAATTTACATATATATATATATATATCCCCTCCAGCAGATGTAAGTTTCATGAAGGCAGGAATCTTTGTTTTGTTCAACATATCAAAAACACATAAAAGAATGCTTGGCATGCAGTAGACACGGAATAGTTGCTGAAATAAATTAATTTTCCAAGTGTGGTATTGCAAATTTTTGGTATATAACTTTTATCAAGTAGGAATCTCTCTTTAACCTATTAGCTGACAACATTTAAAATCAGATACGGAAATTTATCAAGTGTTTTCTACACTTACTGAAATAAACATGATTTCCTATGAATAATCCACTAATTTTTAAACTTTGAAATTTTTCTGTTGTACTCTTTGTGCTATTGGGATAAACTATTCATTCTTTATTTTTTTATTTTTTGGTAGTTGTAGATGGACAGCATACCTTTATTTTATTTGCTTATTTTTATGCAGTGCTGAAGATTGAACCCAATGCTTCACACATGATAGGCAAGCACTGTGTCACTGAGTCCCAACCCTAGCCCCCAAAATATTCTTCCTTGATCATGATCATTACATATTATTGACTTTGGAGAGATCTAATATTATTCAGAATTTCCAAATCTGTGTTAAAAAGTAAATAGGACTTTTTATGTGGTTATGCTATCATTTTTCTAGACTCATAAAATATGTTGGCAACTTTCCTCTTTCTTTGGGTTCTGAAACAACTTGCATAAGAAGGAGTATTCCTTGAAAGCTTGTTACAGTTCACTTGTAAAACCATCTAAGCTTGGAGTTTTATGAGAGAAGGATGACAGTAAACTTCTTTGATTATCATTTTAATGTTTCCAATAGTATTGTTCTATTCAAAGTTTCTGATTCTTTTTTTGTGACAGTTTTCATATTTTTATGTTTTTTCTAAAAATGAAAACTTCATCTAGGTTTTAAAACTATAGCAAATTTTGCTCATTTTATTTAAAACACTTGATAAAAACCTCTGTGATGTATACCTTATTCATTCTGTATTTTAAATTTATATATCTCTTATTTTTTCCCAGTCATACTTGCAAGAGAATTAAGAACCCCTTCCCCTTCTGCTTTTCATTGACCTCTTCCTTTGTATTTCTTCTTTGGGTTTGCCATATGTACTTTTTAAAATGTTAGCCCATTTGTTTCCAATCTCTTGTTTTCTGATGAATGCATTTGAAAATGCAGATTTCTTTCTTAGTGCTGAATTCCTCAAATAAGTTGAAATTGAACTATGACAAATTTTTTTATCATTTAGAATTAATTTGTACTTATTGATGGAATTATTTTAAAAAGATTTAGACGTGTAGATTTTTGTCATATATCATTCTTTAAAAACATGAAAAGGAGTTTATGTGTATGAAATAAAATTGTTAATATTTTTCTAAAATTTTGCCACTGTCACCTGGCCACAGCAATCGTAAATTGTTCCTAATTGTAATGCATCCAAATTTCAATGTTACAATGTAAAAGATGTAGATTTTAGAATCAATGAAATAGAATATATTTTAATGTCAAGTATTGAAAGCTATGTATTTTTTGTAAATCAAGTGGAAGTGAAATGTATGAGCATTACATAGTGATTTCCTTATTTTTTCTGAGTGGTCTTTAAAGAAATCATTAAAATACCTTCTTGCCTATAAAATCTCAAAGAAAGACATTAATCCTTTTAAAGGTGGAAGCTAAGCTAATGATTAATGAATGAAAATTGAATGAATAAATCACACCAATAAAAACAGCCTGTTTCTTCTTCTTCCTCCTCTTCTTTTTTTTTTTTTTTATCTTCTTCTTCTTCTTTTTTTTTTTAAAGGCAAAAGCAACAACAATCAAAGAAGCCCTAGCCAGATGGGTAAGTATGTGAATTTTTCCTTCTTTTAGAAGCCATACAAGGAAAATTTGGATATAGTTATTTAAATCCGACCACTCAATACAAGGTATCCTTGTGATATTGGAACTGTTCAGCTATCTTGTCTGTGGTAGTAAATACATGAATTTATACAGTTGATAAAATTGTTTGGGACTTAATACATACATACAAATATATATTCACTCATACACGTAAGTGAGTACTAGTAAGTTTGGAAAAATCTAAATAAAACTGATACATTAATATCAGTAGCAATACCTTAGTTATGATATACTGTAGTTTTATAGACTATTACCATTGGGGAGTAATATTCTGGTCAAACTGTACATGGGATCACTCTGTTTTTGTTGTTTTGTTTTGTGGTGCTCGGAATCAAACCCAGGGTTTGTGCATGCTAGGCACAAACTCTACCACTAAGTTGCACCTATCCCCACCCCTCAAATATCTTAACAGAAATGTCAATAAAAATATAAATATGGAAAGACTGATTAACTATAAAATGGCTGGAACCTTTGTATTATAGTACATTTTCTTTTCCAGTTTTATCAGTCACTTTCAAGTAATAGAGTGGTAAATATTGTGGATTGTCTAAGCTTTAATCAGATGATAGTTTTAGCCTGTTGGATGTTAGAACAGAGATAGCCAGTATAGACCAATGTAAATTACACATAAACAACTAAAACACATGGAGTAAAAATACTAAAGTATATAGTAATATTAGAGAGGAAACACATTGTAAAAAACATGCGTTAAATATAAACCATAAGTGTGGCATTCAGCTATTCATCACTATGACCAAAGTACCTGGCAAGAACAACTTAAAGGAAAAAAGTTTATTTTGAGTTTATGGTATCAAAGGTTCAGTCCAAGGTCAGTCACTTCCATTGCTCTGGAGTGAGGCAGGACATCAGGGCAGAATGGCATGATGGAAGAAAGCTGCTCAGCTCATAACCACCAAGCAGAGAGGAAGAGCCTGGGACAAAATATGATCCCCAAAGACATACTCTAGTGAAATACTTCCTCCAGCCATGCCCTACCTGCCTACATAATCCACCTAATAGACTACTGAAATTATTAATCCCTGAAATCGACTTAAATGGATTAATCCATTGATTAGATTATAGTTCTCGTAATCTGATCATTGCACCTCTGGACATTCCTGCGTTAACTAACATGAGCCTTTTGGGGAACACCTAATATCCAAACCATAACAATGAGTATTTTGAATATTAACATTCTGTAATGTGAATAGTTGTAATTCAGCATTTATAGATAAAATTTCCATAGAGTACAAAGATGGCACCTTAATTTCTGTGCCCAGTAATAACTTTTTTGTCTATGCTATATAGTTTGTTACAAAATAATGTACTCTTTACTTTTATAGCTTTGGAAAAAAAAGTCTTTTTAAAAATTTTTTAGTTGTTGATGGACACAATACCTTTATTTTGTTTTTTAATTGATTTTTATGTGGTGCTGATGATCGAACCCAGTGCCTCACACTTGCTAGGCAAGTGCTGTACCACTGAGCTACAGCCCCAGTGCTCACATTAATTTTTTTGAGGCGGGGCGGGGGTGGGGTGGGGTGGGTACCAGGGATTGAACCCAGGGGCACTTAACCATGGAACCACATCCCCAGCCCTATTTTGTATTTTATTTAGAGACAGGGTCTCATTGAGTTGCTTAGTGCCTCACAGTTGCTGAGACTGGCTTTGAACTCACAATCCTCCTGTCTCAGCCTCCTGAGCTGCTGGGATTACAGGTATGCAGCATCGCACCCGGCTAATTTTTAACATTTAAAAAATGTTCTTTGGGTTTGGGATATAACTCAGTTGGTAGAGTGCTTGCCTTGCATGACAAGGCCCTGGGTTCAATTCCCAGCACCATACACACACACACACACACACAGAGAAATGTTCTTTATTGGCACATAATTGTACATATTTATGGGATACAATGTGACATTTAAAAAATTTTTTTAGTTGTAGATTGACACAACACCTTTATTTTTATGTGGTACTGGGGATCGAACCCAGGGCCTCACATGTGCTAGGTATGTGCTATATGACTGAGCCATAATGCCAGCCCAACAATGTGACATGATATATGTATATAATGTAAAATCATCGATTCAGTATTATTAGCATATCCACCACCTCAAACATTTATCATTCCTGTGCTAATATTCGAAATCCTTTCTTTATAGTTATTCTTAAATATATAATAAATTATCATTAACTATAGTCACCCTACTGTGCTATAGAATACTAGAACTTATTCCTCCTATTTGTACCTGTTACTTCCCTCCCCCTTACTCTTCCCAGCATCTGGTAACCACTATTATACTGTGGACTTCTATGAGGTCCACTTTTTTAGGTTCCATAAATGGGTGAAGACCTGTAGTATTTTTCTTTCTGTTCCTGGCAAATTTCACTTAAAATGAATGAGTCCTCCCAGCTCATCTGTGTTGCCACAAATGGCAACCCATCATTTATTGAAGATTTGAGGGGTTTAAGTTTTCTTTCCCCTAACCTACAAATGTGTGATACAAAAGTACTGACTGGATGTATGTTAGATCTCTTTCAATGGACTATATATTTTCTATTGTTGATGTGTGATGAATTGATTTTTAAAATGAGCCTCTTTGTATCCTACATTTCACAAGGTTAATCTAATCAGTGGATCCATTTAAAACGATTTCAGGGATTAATAATTTCAGTAGACTATTAGGTGGATTATGTAGGCAGGTAGGGCATGGCTGGAGGAAGTATTTCACTAGAGTATGTCTTTGGGGATCATATTTTGTCCCAGGCTCTTCCTCTCTGCTTGGTGGTTATGAGCTGAGCAGCTTTCTTCCATCATGCCATTCTGCCCTGATGTCCTGCCTCACTCCAGAGCAATGGAAGTGACTGACCTTGGACTGAACCTTTGATACCATAAACTCAAAATAAACTTTTTTCCTTTAAGTTACAGAAAACACAGGAAGGCAAAGGAAATGGTCCCTGAGCTTCAAGTTGTGTTGGAAAGAGAGAACTAACTCTAAGTTAGTGATGTACTTGGAAAATATTAATAGGCAGCTTGTATGGGTAATTAAATTTTAAATTGTATGCTTAATACTAAAACTAAATACTAAGGTAGGATTTAGTGAATTAGAGTAGAACAGATAGCTTTGATCTCAGCTATGTTATAAAGAGAATATCTTTAAAATTTCTTATATTGGGGGTTCTAGCTCAGGCTGAAATAAGTATAGAAAAAAGATGATGAATGAAATCTTACCATTCTGAATCTGATATTTAATGAGGTCAGTTAGGGACAAGGAATATTTTTTAGTAAAATCAATTGATAGACTTTTTATTTTATTTTATTTGTACTAGGAATTAAACCCAAGAGTCTTACCACTGAGCTATATTCCCAGTCCTTTTTTATTTTTCATTTTGAGACAGGATCTTGCTAAGTTGCTGAAGTTTCACTAAGTTGCTGAGGCTGACCTACCTGCCTCTACCTTCCAAGTTGCTAGGATTACAGGCACGTGCCTCTACACCTGGAAATGGATAAACAAAAGATTTTAAACAATATAAAAATATAAGTGATTTTTTTTCTCCTTATTTCCTTTTGCTAGGGACCTAACAATTATCTGATTGAGCCATATTAGGGTTATTAGGTTATTAGGGTCAGCAAATACATGGTTCAGTAAGTGATGAATAATTATTAAGTAGTTATTAAAATTCTAAAAATGTTGAAATCAAAATGTTGAAAGGCCTTCAGAAATCTTGCCTCTTTTGTTGTACATCATAACGAGGGATCATTTTGTTCCAAATTAACTTTTCTCATAGGAAGAGAAAACTGGTCAGAGGCCATCTGAAACCAAAGAGATAAAACTTTACGCCCAGATTCCCCCAATAGAGAAGATGGATGCATCCTTGTCCACACTGGCTAATTGCGAGTAAGTTCTCTTTTCATCCTTCTAGTATTGTTATTTAGTTTTCCTTTCTTTTTTCCTTTATACTAGGATATATTTGTTTTCTGTGATTTTCATATTTTTGTTTGTTTATTGTAATTCTTCCCTTGGGAAAGTTAAATGTGAAAGATTACTGGTTTATAGGATTATTAATGGAATGATATTTTTCAATATAGTTTTTATGTTATATTTTTATATTATATATTATAATATAGTTTTATATTATAATATATTATATTTTATATTATAATATATTTTATATTATGATACATTATAATATAGTTTTTTATTATAATATAGTTTTATATTATAATATATAATATATAATATAAACAATATAATATTATAATATAGTTTATATTATAATATAGTTTTTATATTATAATATAGTTTTTTTTTATAATATAGTTTTTATATTATATTTGGAAATGGAAAAGTCCTAGTTTTTTGGAAGAAGCTAAATAACAGAATCAACTGTTACTCTGTCATTTGAGTCAACTACTTTTTCTTGTAAAATTATCCATCAAAGTCAGAACTGCATTTTTTTACTGATTACCTAAGGAATACACATTTTTTAAAAAAACTAAAAATACATTGCAAACCATCCAGGAAATATAAAGAACACAAAATATTAATGTCAACCTAAATTGTAGTATCTTGTAAAATCAATGTTAGCATTTTTACATAGAGCCTTTTAATTTTTACCCCCACTACTAGGGATTGAACCCAGTGGTATTCTACCACTGAGCAACATCCCCCCAGCCCTTATTCTTATTTTTAGACAGGATATCACTAAACTGCCAAAGCTGGTCTTGAACTTTTGATTCTTCTGCCTCAGCCTCCTGAGTAGCTGGGATTATAGGTGTGTACCACCTCACCAGGCTAATTTTTTTTTTAATCCTAATTGGGATAAAATTGCACTTGTTTTGTAATCCTGTTTCCTATGACTTCAATGAGCAGATCTATGTTAATTTCTTTTAATTTATTTTCTAAATATTCTACTCAGTTTTTAGCAGGATTGTATGCTAATTTGAGGCAATTATACAGTGACACCTCATAACCATATTTTCAGGACCCTATTGTCTCCTGTCAGGGTTGTGGAATACTGTAGAGTACCTGAGGTTCTTTCTAACTTCTTCACCGTGTGTTTCTATAAATGTGATCCCTTCACCACCTGAACTTTCTGCAGGAGATAAGCTCCATCCCAATTTTATAGAATCATACTAAGGAATTCTAAGAATCTCTACAGTAGGCAATTGGGTAGTACTTGGACACATACTTGTGAACACATTGGTGAACACATATTTGTAATATTACTCATATCTATTACTTAATCTTTGGGATTAAAGGGAAAAGCAAACATATGTATTTATTGTGTGCAATTCATTCATTGTGATGAAAGCATACTGGCTTACATAAAAATCTACCTTGGGATTCATATTTGGCTTCTAGAATGATCTTTTTTTGTCATAAAACCATCAAAAAGGTAAACAAACTTGAGAAGATTTTGTATCCCATGCCAAAGCCTTCAGAAACCATTTAGAAAGAGTCAACCTGTTCATATTTTTGCTGACAATGTCTTTGGGAAAGCTATGTAAACAAGATTTAAAGAATTCTTTTCCAATAATATTCCTAGATTTTAAGGCACTTTATTTATCACTGGTAGGTCTCAGGAATGGGGGATAACTAGAAAATATACAGATTTGGTGAAAACTATATAGTAATTGCTTTTGCTGTTTCAAACAGATAAATGAATAATTCCTCTTCAAGTCAAATATAAGGGTAAGACACGTGTTCTAGCATCAAACTTACCTGGATTTTAATTTTGGACCTGCCACGTTGTGATTGTGTAATATTGGGCAAATTGTTTAACATCTTTGTGTCTCAGTTTCATTTGTAAAATGTGGATAATAATAATATTTATCTCAGAAAATTGTGATTGTTAAAATAATTCATGTAAATTGTTTAGAAGAATAGTGGGCACACATTAAATGTTCAACAAATTAGCCTTTATTATTATATGTTTTGCATGAAATTTCTAATATATTAAACATTTTAATCAAGGAAGAAAGATTAAGAATGTTAACTATGTTCCCTTTAAAAACTTTGTTTTTATATCATTAAAATATGGATAGAAAAATATATGCAAAATATTAAAAGTATGAATCTCTAGGGAGGGTGGGACAATTGGGATTACATATGACATTACGTTTTTTCAGTATACATTTCTGAAGGATTTAACACATGAAAAAATATATCTTTACAAATGTATATACATAATTGTGTTTTTGAGGTTTGGAGCTTTTTGTTTTGTTTTACTAAAAGGAGTTGTATAAAATATATTGTTTTACAAGATGGTTTTTAAATTTAACTTACATCATGGACATCTTCACAAGTCAGTATCTATAGCCCAATATCATTTTTTAGTATCAGCATAGTATTTCATTATCTATTCCAAGTTGACAGATTTTTTCAGAGTTTTTTTCTATTATAATTATATAATAAGTAGTCTAGTTTGTATGTCTCTTGGCACTCATCTTTGTATTTTAGTAGGCTGCATTCCTAGCAGTAAAATACTAAGAACATTTGCATTAAAATTTTTTTTTAAATTAATATTTATTTTTTAGTTTTCAGCAGACACAACATCTTTGTATGTGGTGCTGAGGAGCGAACCCCGGCCGCACGCATGCCAGGCGAGCGCGCTACCGCTTGAGCCACATCCCCAGCCCAAAAAAATTTTTATAGATAACACCAAATTGCCTCAAAAAGATTTTTTAAATTTCCTACAATAAGTGTGTATTAACATTTACAAGGGGGGAGGATCGTTTCAAAAATGAATGAATTCTATGACTGAATGAGGAAAAAGGATTCAATGTAAAAAAAAAAAAGTTGTTTAAATATTATCTTCCATGGGAACTACTATTGAGGAATAATTTCTAATATATTATTATAAGTTTTTCATGTTAATTAAAGTTTTTTCTTTGTTCTTTTAAAGGAAGCTTTCACTGTCTACAAACTGCATTGAAAAAATTGCCAATCTGAATGGCTTAAGTAAGTGATCCATGGTAACAGATGGTTCTTGAATTTTCAACATTCCAGAGATACTATGTAATTCTAGAAGCTGGCACCTGTTTCTTTAGGTTTTTGGTTTTTTGTGCTGGGGATTGAACCCAGGGGTATTTTACCACTGAGCCACATCCCCAATCCTTTTTATTTTTAATTTTGAGACAGGTTCTCACTAAGTTGCTCAGGGCCTCCCTAAATTGCTGAAGCTGTCCTCAAACTTGCAGTTCTCCTGCTTCAGCCTCCCAAGTCACTGGGATTACAGGCATGAGCTACCACACTTGGCCTGGCACCTGTTTTAACCGCAGTATTGTCAGATGACAGAATGTATAAACGATGAGTCTTACATTTGATTATCCAAAGAAAATAACACTTGAACATTTTAACGATCTTTTAAAACTTTCATAAAAGTTGAAATACTTTAAATAGGAAATCAGATTTTTGTTATGTATTTATTTCTTTGTTTAGATTTGTCTTGTATGTATTTCAAACTTGTTATATTTAAAATTTAATCCCTCATCATGTCTTGTTTTCCCCATATTCTTATTCTTGTTAATGACATGTCCACCTTCTTAGTTCCCAAGGTCTCTGATGATCAACTGGTTTCCAATTGCTGCCATAACTTGGTGACTTAAGTCAACAGAAATTTATTCTCTCACAGTTTGGGAGATCATAAAACTGCAATAAGTTTCATTGGACCAAATATCAGGCCACATTCCATATGAGGCTTTAGGAGGGAATCTTTTTCTGGCCTCCTCCATTTTCTTTTTCTTTCCTTCATTTGTTCCTTCCTCCCTCCCCTCCCCTCCCCTCCGCTCCCCCCTCTTCTCCTCTCTGCTCTTTTCCCTTCCCTTCCCTTCCCTCCCCTCCCCTCCCTTCCCTTCTCCTCTCTTCTCCTCCCTTCCCTTCCCTTCCCTTCCCTTCTCTCCCCTCCCCTTCCCTTCCCTCCCCTCCCCTCCCCCCTCCCTTCTCCTCTCTTCTCTTCCCTTTCCTTCCCTTCCCTTCCCTCCCTTCCTCTCCCCTCCCCTCCCTTCCCTTCTCCTCCCTTCCCTTCCCTTCCCTTCCCTTCCCTCTCTCTCTCTTTTTGTAGTACTGGGATTGAACCCAGGGGTGCTCTACCACTGAGCTACATTTCAGCCCTTTTTATTTTGAGACAGGATCTTGCTAAGTTGCCCAGACAACTTGCCATCCTCGTACCTCAGCCTCCAAAGTAGTTAGGCCTCTTCCATTTTTTTTTTCTTTTTTCCACATTTTTTATTGGTGCGTTATAGTTTTATATAATTATACAATTTATTGTTACATATTTGTTCATGCTCACAATTTAACAGTATAATTTGGCCAATATCATTTCCTAGTATTTCCCCTTTCCTCCTCTCCTCCCTCTCCCTGGTCCCTTTTCTCTATTCTACTTATGTTCCTTCAATTTTCATGAGATCTGCCCTCCTCACCATTCTTTTCTTTTCCTCACTAGCTTCCACATATGAGAGAAAACATACAACTCTTGACCTTCTGAGTTAGGCTTATTTCACTTAACATAATGTTCTCAAGTTCCATCCATTTTCCTGTAAATGATATAATTTTATTTTATTTTTTTTATGGTCCTCTTCCATTTTCTAATGGGTGCCATACTCCCAATCTCTGCCATCACACTGACTTCTCCCATTCTGTGTCAGGTCAAATCTCTGCCTCACTCTTGTGAGGATATGTGTGATTGCATTTCGGCCACACTGAGATATTGAGGACAATTTTTCCATCTTAAGATCCTTAATTTAATCATACCTACAAAATACCTTTTTGCCATTTATGACAGATCCTAGGGATTAGGATACAGAGGTACTTTTGGGAGAACCATTATTTAGCCTACCATATTCTCTCTTCACTTAAACCCTACACCCAAGTTCATCAGTAAGTCCTATTAATTCTACTCTTTGAAGCAGCTTTCAAATAATTTGTTGCTTTTCCATTTCTAGGAGCCCCAACTTGAATTTAGCTTCCCGTTAGATCATGTTTATCAAACATTTTTACCATTTTCTACAGTAAGAAATAATATGAATTTATTATATATTCATATGAATATACATATAAAATATATACATATACATCTAAACTGGAATAGAATTTACAAAAAAACAGTATGAACTCTTATAGCATAGGGTCCAGTATGTATTTTTTAAATTTGATTTTTTTTCAATGCTGACCACAACCAAGTTGATTTCACAACTCATTAATGGATTATTACCCATAGTTAGAAAAAAAAACTACCTTATGACTTTTGTGATAATCTCCTAATTAATCTCCTTTTCTCCTTTCTATTGTTCAGTTAAACTTTATCAATGATACCAGAGTTTTCTTTTTAAAAATATTATTTTTTCCCAGGCATGGTTGGTGCATGCCTGTAATCCCAGCAACTCAGGAGGCTGAGGCAGGATGATCCCAAGCTCAAAGCCAGCCTCAGCAACTTAGCAAAGACCTAAGCAATTTAGCAAGACCCTGTCTCAAAATAAAAATATAAAAAGGACTGGGGATATGGTTAAGTGCCCCTGGGTTCAATCCTTAGTACAATAAATAAATAAATAACTTGTTTTTATATCATTCTTCTAGATCTGAGACCTAGGCTCTCCTTTGCTTAGTAAAGACCTAATGTCTTAATGTCATAGTCAAAGCCATCTAAAAGTTTGTATCAAAAAATTTAAAAAAAATAGCTGGGTACGGTGATGCACACCTGTAATCCCAGCGGCTCAGGAAGCTGAGGCAGGAGGTCATGAGTTCAAAGCCAGCCTCAGCAATGGTGAGGCACTGAGCAACTCGGTGAGACCCTGTCTCTAAATAAAATACAAAATAGGGCTGGAGATGTGACTCAGTGGTTGAGTGCCCCTGAGTTCAATCCCCACTATCAAATAAATAAATAAATAAGATACTTGTACCACTGTATTTATCCCAACATACCATTGCTTTATTATGACTGTACGTATTTATTGATGTAACATTTTTCATGGAGAGCAGCCCCCTCCTATAATAGGAAAATCCTATAAGAAAATAAAGATTAAGAATGCCACATTCAAATGTTACGTCCCTCTCTAAAAACTTTCCTAATTTCCAGCATCATAATTACTTCTTTTCTTTTCTTTAGAAGAATGTTTTTAATTTTTTTTAGTTGTAGATGGACACAATACTTTTAATTAATTTATTTTTTTATGTGGTGCTGAGGATCGGACTCAGTGCCTCACACATGAGTGCTCTGCCCACTGAGCCACAACCCCAGCCCTCATAATTACTTCTTCTTTGAGAATATTTATAACAGTCTACCTTGGATTGTAATAATAATTATCCACTTCATATAATTATGGTGAAGATTAAATGAGTTAGATTACATGAAATACTTAAGAATTGTGCTGGTTCAGATAAAGTGCTCAATAACTATTAATCACTATTATAGTTGAGAATATGTTTTGCTCTTTAGATAGTGAGCTTCTTGAGGGCATGCATAACATATTATTAGTCTTTTCTATTCCAGATCCTTTCCCCCCCAGTACCTTTCTCAAAGTTGGCACTCCAGGGTCTGGAGGGAGGTAGAGCATTTGCCTACTGTGTGAAAGGAGGGTGGGTGGTAGAGTGCTTGCCTACTATGCGAAAGGCCCTGGGTTCAATCCCCAGCACCACCACCAAAACAAACAAACAAAACACACACACATCGAACTTGGCATTCTATATTTTTACAGTGCTAGAGGGAAGTGTTAACTATTGGAGCAGGCTTAAAATGACTCCCTCTATTCTGACTTGTTGAATAATTTGTTCTCTTAGGTAATTAGTCATTTTATTCTCTGCCTCAATTTCTTTTAATGTAAGTATTTTGCTTGAGACTGCACTGAAACACATATTATGATAAATTATATGCTTTTCATTTCATAAAATCATGACTCGTAATAGGGTCATGATTTTATGAAATGAAATAGGGTTGACTATGGTTTTTGACCCATATTCTAACTTAGGTTATTTGGTGTGTAACTCTCTGGAAAATTAAGAAGAATTCCCAGTCACGCATAGTTAGTGGTACACACCTGTAATCCCAGTGACTCAGCAGGTTGAGGCAAGTGGATCACAAATTCAAAGCTAGCTTCAGCAACTTAGCAAGGCTCTAAGCAACTCAACAAGACCCTGTCTCAAAATAAAAAGTATAAAAGGCTGGGTATGTGGCTCAGTGGTTAAGTGCCCCAGGTTTAATACCTTGTAACAAAAAAAAAAAAAAAAGATGAAGAAAAAGAATTCCCACAACTCAATGGCAAAGGAAATTTTGATCAATTATTGATGTCTGCTATAAACATGGAATGAGAGAATACAGGTATTTGCTACACTTGACTCATCTCATTTTGGTTGTGCTTGTAATATAAATACTTCCTTAGTCAATGGTTAGGAAATACATTTTATCTGTGACTATGAAACAGAGAAATTAACAGGACCATATAAAAGATTGAATTTATGCCTCTAGCTTGCCTGTTACCCCCATCCTTTCTTAAATATGATAGTTTATCTATTATGCTATGGCAGAAAGTTTAAAAATACATACATATTCCTATTTAATAGATGGTTTATAGGAAGAATAAACACAAGGACAATTTAGTGTACCAAAACTGGGACTGGAAAATTCATGACTATATCCACAACCATGACTAAAAAACTATATATTGTGAGTATTAATAATCTCATATTAAAGATTAGAAAATAAGTTTTGTTTTCTTGTATCTTTGGCAACACAAACAAAACTATACTCTTCCAGGTTAGAAATAAACATAAAACTTGAAAGCCCTGTTTTGATTTCCATCATGACCTTGTATGAAGAAAACAACAGTGTTTCCCTTCTAGTGGTACCTTAACGTATGCAACATATAAAATAAGGAAAAAACATAATCGTGTTTTGTTAGAATGTGTAGTCTATTAATTTTGATATCATAATTTACCTATTTCCCTTCATGGCAATAAATGTTTTGAGCCCTTCATTACCATTTTATGTGCATTTTTAAATGGGAGTTTAATATATTAAGTTAAATATCTTTGAGAGTTGCATTTATTTATTTCCTGTGACCTCATCATAATTGATCAGTCAGTTTTGGAAGTGGTTCTGGGAATTGAACCCAGGGTACTCTTCCACTAAGCTACATCCTCAACCCTTTTTATTTCATTTTGAGACCGGGTCTAGATTAAGTTGATTAGGCTGGCCTGGAACTTGCAATTTTCCTGCCTCAGCCTCTCCACCTAGCCAATTAGCGTATTTTGACATAAATGATTTCTCTTTCCTTTTTTGTTTTTGGTACAGGGTATTGAACCCAGGGGCACTTAACCACTGTTCCACATCCTCAGCATCCCATATATATATATTTTTTGTAGTTGTAGTTGGATAGAATGCCTTTATTTTGTTTTTATTTATTTATTTATTAATGTGGTGCTAAGGATCAAATCCATTGTCTTACGCATGCTAGGCAAGCACTCTGCCACTGAGCTACAGCGCCCCCCGCAGTGTATTTTTAAATATTTTTTGTTATAGTTGGACATAATACCTTTATTTTATTCATTTATTTTTATGTGGTGCTGAAGATTGAACCCAGGCCTCGCACGTGCTAGGCGAGCACTCTATCGCTGAGCCATAACCCTAGGTGCCATCTGCCAGCCTTTTTTATATTTTGAGACAGAGTTTCACTGAGTTGCTTAGGGCCTCACTAAATTGCTAAGGCTGACTTTGAACTTGCAATCCTCCTGCCTCAGCCTCCCGAGCCACTGGGATTACAGGTGTGTGCCACTGTACCAGGGCTCTTTTTCCTCTTTGGAGCACTTTCAGTATTAGGTTTCTATTGCACCATATCCTCCTGGTTTTCTCCTCTCTTTCTGACAACCCGGTTTTGTGTCCCCAGCTTTTAAATATTGGAGTGCTGTCAAAACTCAGTTCTTGCATCTTTTTTCTTTGTTCTCTTCACTTACTCCTCAGATTATCTCATCCAGGGTCATGGCTTTACCATATATATGCAGATGGCTCCCAAATTTAAATATCTACCCCTGAGGTCTTCTCATACTCCAGGTTCACACATTCAGTGTCTGAATTCCACTGGATGTCTAATAGATATCTCATACTTTAACGTGAGCCTCTGGGATTACAGGCGAGCACCACTGCACCCAGTGATAATTTTTTTACTCTTTTATATCCCTTCTACGGCCTATTATTTCTATAATTTTATGTTCTGTTACTCTCTTCCTTTATTCTCTCAGGTAACTTCTTGTGTTTTGTGAACAGATTGGATGTGGTTCTGCTTACAAAGCCTTTGCACTTAAAGTTCTCTAGCTGTTTCACTGCCTTTGAGTATTTGTTTAGAAGTGACTTTCTATCTAAAATATCAACCTCTCCCAACACCTTTTATTTCATTCCTTTTATCTGCATATCTCTTTTTTTCCTTCATACGGGTCATACCTTATATACTTACTCAGTTTATTGTCTGCCCAACATTAGCTTCAGGACAGCAGGAATTTTTATCTTTATTACTCACTGTAATATTATGAGTGCTTATTATTGTTCCTGGAAAATAGTTTGATAACTATGTGTTGAATGAATAAATTTTTGAATAACCTTTTTCTTTTTCTTCTTCTTATTTTTTTATTGTGCTGGGGATAGAACCTTGTGAATGCTAGACAAGTATGCTACTACTTAGCTATATCCCCAGCCCTTAATATGCTTTTGATTCTTCATGAAATAGCTAAAGAGAAAGTCCTCATTTTTCTATATCAAAGAGCTTTAAGGAATAATTTGTTATGTAAATCACAAATTCATAATTACATGGGGTATATTAGTTTGTGAAAGCTTCCAATACAAAATCCCAGAGACTGTGTGGCTTAAACAACAGAAATTTATTTTTTCTTAATTCTGGAGGCTAGAAGTCTGAGATCAATTTTTCAACAGAGTTAATATCTTCTGACACCTCTGTCTTTGGCTTGTAGAAGGCTGTTGGCTTGGCTTCTCCCTTTACATGATTTTCCTCTATATATTTGACCCAGTTTTTTCTTCTTATAAAAGCTTCCTTTATATTGGACTGGGATACCTGTATGAACTCATTTTATCTCAATTAGCTCCTTATAGGTCCTATCTCCAAATACATTCTAAGATAACTGGGAGTTAGGATATAAACATGATTTTTAAGGAAAATACAATTTAGCCCATAACATGGTGTCTTATTTCAGTGGTTAAGCCATCTTATGTGAATTAGATCATTCTTAAAATACCTTGTTTTGAAAGCTCAATGATTCTCAAGAGAATTGAAAATAATTTATTAAGTTAAATAAATTAAAACCAAAGTTATATGTGCCTGACACACCACATTATTTTTTTGTATATGTGCCATAGATTAGGAACTTACTGAATGTTTTAAATAATTGTCTCATTTAATATTTATGTTATTATTATACTTACATTCTTATATATTTGATAAGACTGAGATTCAAAGAAGTTTGCTTACCTAGAGAATTGCAAGATAATTCAATCTGTGTTCTCAGCATTGAATTATGTACATTACAAAATAGTATATCCACCAGAACCATCTGCAGTGTCCCAGTAAATTTGCTATTAGCCACATATAGCTATTAAGCACTTGGCTGGTGTGACTAAGAAACTAAAATTTTAATTAAATTTTAACTTTAATTAATTTAAATTAAATAGCCATATTTATCTTGTGACTACTACATCAGATAGTCACAGAAGTTCTATTTTTTAAAAATATTTTTTAGTTGTTGATATACCCTTATTTTTCATTTATTTATATGTGGTGCTGAGAATTGAACCCAGTGCCTCACACATGCTAGGCAAGCACTCTGCCTCTGAGCCACAACCCCAGCCCAATCATAGAATTCAATTTGTGAAAACTAAATATATTACTTATACAAAAGTAATCACAGTAGTTTTTTGAAATAGAAGTGAGGTTTCCCATATTTTACTAGAAGTCTTATTTTTTTAATTTGGAAAAATAATGTACACATATGTTTTTATTCAAATGATTCAAAAGAGATTACACTAATACAATGAAAAGTAAGTTTTGGCCTGGGACTGTAGCTCAGAGGCAGACTGCTTGCCTGGCATGTGTGAGGCACTGGGCTCAAGCCTTGGCATCCATAAAAATAAACAAATAAAATAAAGGCATTCTGTCCATCTACAATTACAAAAAAACTTTTTTTAAAAAGTTATTTTTCTGACCACAGACTCTGAGCTCCTTCCTAAAGTCAACCACTATTTCTATTTTCTATTTTCTTTTCCAGATAATTATACAAAAAACCAAAACCAAAACCAAAAACAGAAATATCCTTTTAAAAATTAAAAACAGGCCTTTTCTTTTTAACCAAATCACAATGTAATTATTTAAAATATTGAAAAACAAAACATTTTTAAATGCTAAATTTATTTCATTTCTCTTATAATACTTCACAGAGTAAAGGGTAACTTTTTTTTTTTCTTTTCTGTTTTTGTAGTACTAAGGTTTGAACCCTAGGCACTCTACCACTAAGCAACATCCCCAACCTTTTTTATTTTATTTTGAGACAGGGTCTTACTAAGTTGCCCAGACTGGCCTTGAACTTGGGATCCTCCTGCCTCAGCCTCTCAAGTAACTGACATCACAGGCGTGCACCACCATGCCCAGCTAGTAAGAGGGAACTATATAAATAATATATTTCTATTTTCCAGTGTGAGTTCTGATACTATATATTTAAACATATTTGAAACATACATGCTCCCCAAATAAAAGTTAACATCTTCTTTACTTTTATCCCTGTAACATTTTAACATTTTACTAGCCAGGCATTCCAGATACCTAATCAGTTTTAAATTTAATATTGACAGGATGTGGGGTTATGGTTATTACAGTGCTTATCTTAGGTAAATCAATATTATTTCCTATTTGATTACCTATTTTTATTAATAGCCTTTTTTGCTCATCAAATAAGGTTATTTGTTACATAAAACTTATTAAAGCTTTATTATACTAGATTTACAACAATTATATGATTCTCGTAAACAAAATGCTTTCTTTCTTTCCACTACAGAAAACTTGAGGATATTGTCTCTGGGAAGAAACAACATAAAGAACTTAAATGGACTGGTAGGTTGTTATCTAACATTTTTAAAAAGGTACAAACTTTTTTTTAATTAAAAAATGTTCATTGCAGAAGCTTTGCAGAGTAAAAAAGCAAGTTAAAAATATAAACCACTGACAAACACTGCTGACATCTTTTGTCTTTTTACCTTTTTTCTGTTCTTCAGTGGGTATGTAGATTATGAAATCATACAATACATATTGTTTTGCACCTCCTTTTTAACTTAATTTGTAAAATTCACTTTCCAATGTCATTTGTTCATCAAATTCATTCAAAATATTTCTTGAATGCTTACTTGAAGCTAGGCACTGATTGAGGCACTAGAGAGACAGCAGAATATAAAATAGTCCTTGCTCTCATAGAACTTAGATTATATGTGAGGGAGAGATATGAAAAGATAATTGTATAATGCATCAGGTGGTGATGAATGAAGAAAAACGAGGCATAAAAAGAGAAGATAGAATGATGCAAATTCTCTCTGTGGAAGTGAGATGTAGACTATAAGCTACAGAGCTGACAAAGGAGCAAGAGCACCAGGCTGAGGGAACAGCAGGTGAAAACGTCTTAGACCTGGTATCCTTGAGTAGGAGCCAGAAGAGTTGATTGAGGAAGGAGGGTGGTCCTCATTGACACTGGAGAAGGAACCAGGGACCAGGCCGACAGAAATAAGATTTTATTTTATTTTCCCCAAGTGTCTTGCAAAGTCAGTAGAAGTTTCTGTTTTTATTTTTATTTTATGCAGTCCTGGAGATTGAACCAGCTACATCCCTGGCTCTTTTTTATTTTTTGAGACAAGGTGTCTCTAAGTTGCTGAAGCTGGCCAAACTTGGAAAACCTCTGCCTTAGCCTCCTAAATAGCTGGAATTACAGGTATGCAGTACCGTGCCTGACTTCCATTGGAGATTTTTAATTAGAGAATGCAACTTAAATTTTTAAAATAAATTTAATCATACCCCCTTTTATATTTTTAAATTTTTTTGTAGTGCTGGGATCAAACCCAGGACCTTGCACATGTTAGGCAAATGCTGTACCACTGAGCTATACTCCAGCCCAGTCATACCGTTTTTTAATAGCCTAATATTCTATCTTATTGATGTATCATAATTTATTTAAGTCAGATACTTACTAATTGTGTAGTTCATTTCTAATTTGGACTTGTTATAATCATTCCTGTTATGAATTTTCTTTTAGCTATATTAATGTACACATTCATGAATAATTCAATAAATTCTTTGAAATGGAATTGCTGGGTCAAAAGATACGAATTTCTTTTAAGGCTTTTGTGACATATATCAAGTTGCCCTTTGTAAAGTTTGAAACAGTTTATATTCTTACCAGTAATGTTTGAGGTTTTCCATTTCCCCATACCAACCTTAGGCATTTAAATTTTTTTTTTTTTACTACAATATGCTATTTATTTATTTATTTAGTGTGTGTGGTGCTGGGGATTGAACCCAGTGTTTTGAGCATGTGAGGCAAGCACTCTACCAACTGAGCTATATCCCAGCCCTTATTTTTTTATTTACTGATTATTTCAACTTCCTTCCAACGAAGAATAGATGGAACAGTATTATGAAAATAGGCAATTTTAGGAAAGATGAAGCTAATTTCTTTTTCTTGTATCTGTTCCCCAAAGGGTAATACTTTTAGAAAAGTGTTTATTACTAAATAATTCATAAACATTCTGAAAATTTTTTGACTCCTGTCTTCATGTCCCCCAGTAAGTCTAGCTTGTGCTTCATAAGGGACAGCAGTAGGTTGAAACTGCAGTGCTTCCCATCAATAATCTCTCAAAATCAGGCCAAAGTGGCCATCCCCCTGCAGAAACAGTTTACCACCCAAATAGCAGTCAGTTTTCAGAGGTGCAATTTTGGAATTTTCTTGGATTTATTAGCCATTCTCTGAATTATATTCCCACTCTGTGTGTCTGTTTATCCACATAAAATGTTACCAATAATTTATAAAATGCTCAGAAATTCTTCAGGATTAGATTCTGGAATTAAATAAAAGAAATTTCTTCCCCAATAACCAACAGCTGAATTGTTTGCTATCTAATTGGATTGATAAGCAAAATTCTAAATGATCTATAAAAATAAAATGGTTTGTTTTGTTTTTTTAAAGTATATTTGTAAATTTAGGATATTTACTTTTTCTCCATTGTCTGAGCCTTCATAACACCCAGCTGTTGGCTCTGTTTCCAGGATGTATCAGACATGTTTGAGAGGTGTGTGTGTGTGTGTGTGTGTCCAAAACCTTGAACACTTATATGTAAACTAAAGAGAAATAAACTGCACAGGGATACAGATGCCAGACTCAAAATAGGTTCACATACTTAGTTAAATTATTCATCCAGACACATTTTTTGATAGCTGAGTCAGTAAACTACAAATGATTATAAAATATGAAATTTTAAATTGAAAGAAAGTGGTTCATTTCAGACTACTTAGGAAAACTGACTATTAAGACACATTATAAGCCCATTTATATGTATGATCTGACCTCTGCTTTCCTTTCCAGTCTTATTTCATAGGGCTCTTCTATTATTAATCTATAGCCACAGGCCTTATTTCACTTCCTTGACCCTAAGAAGTCCATTCCTATCTGGGGACCTTTGTACTTGCTGTTCCCTTTGCCTTAAAAACTGTTAGTATGGATTTCCACTATTTTGACTCCTTCTTAACCTTAATTTCTCAACTCAGATGTCACCTCCTTAGAGGTGACCTAGCCACTCCACCTCCCTATATCTAAAGCAGTTTTAGGTCTTAAAATTTATTTTTATTTTTATTTTTAAAATTAAATTTATTTTTATTTTAATTTATTTTTAAAATTTATTTTTTATATAATTCATTACACTGAAATTCTTTGTTCTCTCTTTTTTTATCCCTCTTATATATATTGTACCCCCAATGAACATATCAGTTTTGTTCATCAGCATCTATAATAGTGCTTGATATATGTAATAGACACTCTATAAATGTTTATTGGCTCAATGTTTTATTATAATTATACAAACTAGTACTTAAGTTTAAATCTTAATATAAAAGTGATATGTTCATTATAAAAATAAATAATTTATAAATATATTAAATATAATGTGGAAGTCATTCTTCTTGAACTTCCCTACTACCCTCACCAGGTCTGTGAGATAATAGGAATAAAATTATTTTGTAGGCTTTAACTTTTTTCTGAACACAGAAAAGTTAATAGATATTTGTATGTGCATGTACATATGTGTGTGTATATATACATTATATTGTTTGTACTACTAGCATACAAGGTATGTTTTTCTGTAATTTTGCTTTTTTATCCAATAATATATCAGGAATATTCTTCCATGTCAATACATGCATATTTAATGAATACTTTTAAATAGTTGTATATTTTTCCACAGTATTAGTATACAAAAATGTCCTTTATCACTTAATGATGGGGATATGCTCTAAAAAATGCAGCTAGATTGTGCAAACATTGTAAAGTTTATGTATACAAACCTAGATGGTATAGCCTACTTAAACTATATGGTATATACTGTCATGCATGGTTTGTCATTAACTGAAACATTACTACATGCTACATATCTGTATTTCTTTACTACTGGGCATTTAGATTATTTCCAGTTTTGGGGGGGGGTTTGGTTTTTTGGGGGCACATTTGCAGTCTCACCAGCAATGTATGAGTGTACCTTTTTCCCCACATCCTGGCCAACATTTATTGTTACTTGTATTCTTGATAATTGCCATTCTGACTGGAGTGAGATGAAATTTCAGTGTAGTTTTGATTTGCGTTTCTCTAGTTGCTAGATATTAAACATTTTTTCATTTATTTGTTGACTGATTGTATTTCTTCTGTGAAGTGTCTGTTCAGTTCATTTGCCCATTTATTTATTGATTGGTGTTTTGTTATTTGAGTTTTTTTTTTGTATATCCTGGAGATTAATGCTCTGAGGTTCAGGTGGCAAAGATTTCCTCCCATTCTGTAGGCTCTCTCTTCACATTCTTGATTGTTTTCTTTGTTGTGAAGAAGCTTTTTAGTTTCATACCATACCATTTATCAATTCTTGATTTTACTTTTCTTGCACTTTAGGAGTCTTGTTGAGGAAGTTGGTTCCTAAGCTAACATGATGGACAGTTGGGCCTGCTTTTTCTTCTAGTAGGCACAGGGTCTCCGGTTTAATGCTGAGGTCCTTGATCCATTTTGAGTTTTGTACAGGGTGAGAGATAGGAGTTTAATTTCATTTTGCTACATATGGATTTCTAGTTTTTCCAGCACCATTTGTTGAAGAGGCTATATTTTTAACAATATATGTTTATGTGATATAATCTTTATACTATAAATAGTAAGAGCAAGAGTTTAAAGCTGAATTTTATATACCAAATAAATAAAATGAATTGATGGATGGATAGATTTGATAGGACAAGTTTAGCAAATTGCTTATAGTGGATAGGTAGAAATGAATATGTGGGCATTTAATATAAAATTCTTTCAACTTTTTTGTTTATAATTTTTCATAAAAATGTTGAAAAAACCCTGAAGTTTAGAGCTAAATTTATTACTTAATATCAGTATAATCTCTAAGACATGATAGAAATCAAATTATTTGCCTTGTCTCCTTTGAATGTTATAAGAACCAAATTAATCTATAGGAAAGTAATGTGAAACTATATTATTCAATAGAAGTGATCATAGTGCCATTATTTCTCATTTTGGTGATTCTTGGTAAAGAATATTTTGTAAGTTTTTGCTCAATGAAGCAGTCAGAAGGAAGAGTTCAAATCAGTTTGAAGAAGGGAAGAGAATGTTCTGCTTCATTCCCTCAATAAAAAAGAACTTCCATATAAGAATCAGTGCTCAGCTCTCCTATAAGTGGACACGTGGGGACAGGTGGACAGGCAGGTCTTAGTGTTCTCTGAAAGTCGTTATCTGTTTTTAAGGAAAGAGGTCGGGAAAAAAATGCTAAAAATAAGCGTGTAAATCAGATTGCTTTCTTTTTCAGGAAGCAGTAGGAGAGACGTTAGAGGAATTGTGGATCTCCTATAATTTTATTGAGAAGTTGAAAGGAATCCATGTAATGAAGAAATTGAAGATTCTCTATATGTCTAATAACCTGGTGAAAGAATGGGGTAAGCTGAGAGCAACTCTTCGCTAACTTTATAGAAAATACTCAATAGGGAAAAAGAAGCAAAATGGGAACATTTATTTCTAAGCATAGAAATAATTATAGGAGTTCTTATATAGGAAATAGCTATTGGAATTCCTAAATTTTAAAGGCAAAAATATCTATTTAAATATTTACTTAGAGTGAATATAATTGGGAAGATTCTGGTCCTATTAATCATGAAAAAAAAAATGTTATCCAAGGGCTGAAGGAATCAATTTAAATAATTCTTGGGTAGAAGACTGACTGCTTGAGTAGAAGATTATCTTGCTTTGCTTTTTATCTCACGCTATTCATTCAGCATGTGATAAAGCTCTGTTATATTATTATATTTTTGAATCATGCCAGACTCAACAGGCATGGTTGAATAGGACATTCATTCACCTCTTCCCTCAAGGAGTTTACAGCTTAGTGGGGAAAATTTATTTATAAGCTAATAATTATAAAACTATAATAAATTCTGCAGTAAAGATTTGAATTAGTTGCTTTAATAATTCAAAGATGAGGAATGGGTAGAGATAGAAAGGCAGTTTAGCTTGGCCTACATTGATTCAGCACAGCATAAACAAGACTGTCATGAGATCAACTTATTATTTTTTTTCAACTCTGATCCTCATCTCTTCTTCTTATCTCACCCTTAGGCTAGCATTAAAGATAGAAGGTCTTCTTCCTTCCCATCCCATAATGTCCTCAGAGAATAACTTCATTATAGTAAAATTTCCCTAATCTTTTTCAAAATCTTAAACAACTGACTGTCCTGAATAGTCACAAATTGAGGGTTAGTGATTTGAAGTTCAATCGTCAAAATTAAAACAGTAAAACTTAACCCTTTTAATAAAGAAAGTGTGCTTTGTACTTGTAGCTGAATTTGTGAAGCTGGCGGAACTGCCCTGCCTTGAAGACCTGGTGTTTGTAGGCAATCCCTTGGAAGAAAAGCATTCTGCTGAGGGCAACTGGATTGAAGAGGCAACCAAGAGAGTGCCCAGACTGAAAAAGCTGGATGGTGAGTGATCCTGGGCTGGCTTGGAAATGCTTTATAGGTATAAAAATGGAATTTTTGGTATGGGACCATGACAAGGAGGAAAACTAAAGAAAATGATAGGTTGTCAGCCGGGCCTGATGGTGCACACCTGTAAATCCTATAAGCTAGTCAAGAGATTAAGGCAGGGGATCGAAAGTTTGAGACCAGCCTGGCCAATTTAGTCAGACCCTACTTCAAAACAAAAAGGGCTGGGGATGTAGCTCAGTGGTAGAACACCCCTGGGTTCAATCCCTCCAGTACCACAAAAAAGAAAATGAAAGGTCGTCCCTAATCTTCAATACTTTGTGTCCATATGAAATTTAGCGGTCCAGTTTTAGGTCAGGGTGAGATGAAAAACTCCCAGGATATTTACATGGTATGAGATCATCCTTAGACTAAAAGCATATAAGTAAGCTAAGCTTATTCTCAAGTTACAAAAGTATTATTTTGTGGAATGATTAGACATAAATGATAAATAGTTGAGCTATTTTTCATAGTTGGGTCAAAACTTTAATGTTCTCCCTTACCCCCTCACCACTGCCCAATTTTAGTTTCTAGTCTCTAAGATCCATGTTAATATTAGTAGATACCCCTGACTGACTGGGTCAAGTCCAAGCTTCACCACTTAATAGCTTTTGTGACATTGTACTCATTAATGAATCTCACTAAACCTTGTTCATTTATGATATAAAAACTGGAGAATGGTAATAATACCACTAGTAATCATTTTAGAGTATATATCACAGTGTTATAATGATGATTAAATTAAATAATCAATTTTTAACATTGTGCTTAGCACAAAGTAGTATTCAAAAATTATTAGTATTATCACTTTTAAAAGATTTAATAATGCCAAAATTCAAATATATGAGAAATATTTTAGTTTATATGGACTTCATTTTGACTTTGAACATCTCCTCCCCAATTCACTTTAGCTAGACTGTTCAGAAATTTAGTCTGTCAGTCATTCTTAAGGTCTCTGAATTATGCCATCATTATAGAAACAGGTCATGTGAAGCATGGTCATAGGTAAACTGTCCGCTAAGGTTACTACCAAGGTATCTATTGTCCCCATTCCCGGGGCCCTTTCAGAACTCATCCTGCCTGCCCCCTGCCTCATCTATGCTCCACTTGGGTTAAGAAAGTGACTTTTTTGGGCTGGGGTTTTGGCTTAGCGGTAGAGCACTCACCTAGCAAGTGCAAGGCCCTGGGTTCGATCCTCAGCATCACATAAAAATAAATAAATAAAGGTGTTGTGTCCAATTACAACTAAAAAATAAATATTAAAAAAAAAAGAAAGTGCCTTTTTGGGGGCTAGGTTTAGGGCTCAGCAATAGAGCGCTTGTCTAGCACGTATGAGGCATTTGATCCTCAGCACCACATAAAAATAAATAAATGTCCAACTACAACTAAAAAAAAATAATTAAAAAAAAAGAAAGTGTCTTTTTGAGAATGAAATCTTTGTGACCATAGGATTACCTCCTGAGATAAAACAGACAATCCCTTCTGGGTTTATCGCCTCCCAGAGGTGCTGTTAGGAAGCAGGGCTAAGATTCCTACGGTTCCATAACCTCAAGACCTCCCTCTCTTCTGCCACCCTCAGATGTTTGGGAAAAATCATCATCCCACTCCTTATCCACATTATTCTGTATCCTCTCACAAATAATATCTTCTCAATGTCTTCTGAGGCTTTTCAAAGACAAAACCAGTGTAATTTTTTCTGCTCTCCATATTCCCCATGAACAGTAATACACAGAGCTGACTAGCCTGTCTGGTTATGTGGATGAAAAGGAAATACTGAGAATAAAAGAATAAGTAATATCCAAGACACAGTGGTGGTGGTGGTGATGCTAACCATCATTATCATACTGTGTGTCAAAGGCATATTTGCCTTTGTCTTTACTATGCGCTTCCTGAGAGTCACAACCAAAACAAAGGACCTAGTTGTCTGTGCTTCAGGCTTCATTATCCATTATCTCTTCTCACCTCTTCACCACCCAACTTCTCTGTTCCATCCTTTCAATCCCGTTTTGTCTTCATCCCCCCATGAATATATCTAATATATCTAATATATTAATCTAATATATCTAATGCTCAGTACCCCAACTTACTGTAGCAGTTACTCTTAAATGGAGCTGCATCCCAGTGGAAAGACACTTCAGAATCTCTAAAAAGACAGTCAAGGAAAAGTATACAATTTGATAAGTTTTTTGTATATATGTCTATGGAACCATCATGATAGTTTACATAATGAACATGCGGCTTAGCCTTAAAAGTTTCTTTGTGCCTCTTTGTAATCCTTCACTCCTACTCCTTACCATCACCCCTCCCAAGGCACTCACTGACCTGCTTCATGTCCGTTTAGATCAGTTTATGTTTTCTAGAGTTTTATGTAAAAAGAACTATATAGAATGTTCTTTTTTCCCATCTAGATACATACCTAGGGGTAAAATATAAAAGGTAATAGATTACCTCTTGTAGGGAGATACAGGAATAATCAGAAAGAAGCTCAAAAACTTCTAAGATACTAGTAATGTTTTATTTCCTAAATTGGGTGGTGAGTATAATAATTAGTTTTATGACTCTGTTTATGCTATGTTTGTGTGAATAAATATTATTAAATTTAAAAAGAAATTTAAAAGAAAAAGTTCAGTGGTAGAGTGTGTACTTAGCATGTACACATTCTTGTTCGTGATCCCCAACACACATACACACACACACACACACACACACACATACACAAATTCTTTGGTTGGACTCTAGAAACCATTTGAAATCATTTGTCTTTACTTCCTTTAGAGTTGCACAAAGGAAATGAACCCCTTCCCTTAAAAATGAAACAGAACCCCTCATGTAGACCCTGAATAAACCAAGTCATGTTGTACTTTAGAGACCAAATAATGACCTTAGGCCAATCTGAACAGTTTCAGAAGAACCATCTTGGTCTTTCCTGAATCAAAGGGGTAGAAGAGAACAGAAATAGCTGTGGCCACTAATTTGCCTATTTTTGATACTCTTCTCTTGCTTATAAGCAAAACTGAGGAATCTTAAAAAGATAGACAATGCCAAATGCTAGTGGGGACATGGAAGAGCTAGAGCACTCATACCCTGCTAGATAATGAAACTTTGGAAAAGTGATATTATCTACAAAAGCTCTACAAATACATCCTTTGCGGTCCAGCAGCTTCTCTCCTAGATATATACTCCAAAGAAAAAGATATGTTTCCAAAAGTCATGTATAAGAATGTTCATAGAGGACTGGGGATGTGGCTCAAGCGGTAGCGTGCCCGCCTGGCATGCGTGCGGCCCGGGTTCGATCCTCAGCACCACATACAAACAAAGAATGTTCATAGAGGCACTATTAATAGCTAAAAATTGGAAATAACCCATTCGTCCATCAACAATAGAATAAATTATAGCATATGTATACAAGGGAATATTAAGTATCAATGAAAATGAATAAACTACAACTTCACACAACGTAGACGAGTCATACAAATATAATATTAAGCAAAAGAAGCTGGACAAAGTATATATGATGGTCCACTGAGGGCCTGCAGATATGTTTTGTTTCCTCTGCAGGGGTTCAGTTTTGTTTTGTTTTTTTAATCTCCAATCTTTTTTTTTTTTTTTTAAATATTTATTTAGTTAGTTAGTTATTGGCAGACACAACATCTTTGTTTGTATGTGGTGCTGAGGATCGAACCCGGGCCGCACGCATGACAGGCGAGCGCGCTACCACTTGAGCCACATCCCCAGCCCTTAATCTCCAATCTTTAATAATTGGAGAAGTTCACAAAAAATTCAGATTTCTGGCACCAGAGGACATATTTTTTGTGAAAATGAAAAATATTTCTTTGTACTTAACATAGAAAATTGTTAATGTGTGCAGGGCTTAGTTTATTTTCTTTTTTTTTTTTTTTGGCTCTTTTCAGTTTATTGCATGAAGGAGTTACACTAGTCCAAGTTAAAAGTGGACCCCAAATGGTTACATTATACAAGCTGTGAGGTTTTTAAACTTGTGACAAGGGACAGAAAGGAAATTCTACTCATTGCAAGGAAATCCTCACTTAAGCTTCAGTGAGCCACAAGCACTTAAACCCCATGAACCTTCAGCTGATCGTCCTTAGCCAGTCCCATCTCTACCAGGAACTGGCATATGTTCTTGCGCTGGTCACCCTGTAGCTGAATTACTTCTCCATGTTCTGGATGCTCAATTACAGTACCATTGCAGGCAAATTTCTTAAACGCCTTCACTAGTTTCTTTTTATCGTAATCATCAGTGATCCCTTGGACAGTAGTAAGGGTCTTCCTGCTGTGTCTCTGTTGAATTCTTATATGGATATAAATCCTCAGTGCCAGCAGGAAGCAGGTCATCACCCTTACTTGCATCAGCAAAGGGGTCGAAAGAGTGGAGGTTCTGAATAGCGGACATAGGATTCGCGGGGGGGGGGGGGGGGGGGGGTGGGGGGGTGGTGTCAGAGCTTGGGGAAGCGAGGGGGCTCAAGGGGGAGGCTGCTGAGTCCTCGGCGGCGGCTCAGTGACTGGGCTATTTTATTTTCTGTAGACACTTGTAGTCATTTTTATTTGCAACTCTCCATTTGGGGCACCAAATATTCATAAGTATTTATATTAATCCACTTGTGGATTCTTCTGAAAGCCTTTTTAGAGAATTTGAAACTTAAGTGATCTTTTTAAAAATATTTATTTTTTAGTTTTAGGTGGACACAGTATCTCAATTTTATTTTTATGTGGTGCTGAGGATCAAGCCCAGTACTTCATGCTTGCTAGGCGAGCACTCTACTACCGAGCCTCAGCCCCAGCCCTTAAGAGATTATTTTATAAAATTATTTTTATTATGGCACATTTCATAACTTCTCAGACTTCCTTAGGAAAATATTTTCATTTAGAATATTAATAATCTGTTGAAAATGACCAGAAATAATTTTCTTTTCATTTTAGGTACTCCAGTAATTAAAGGGGATGAGGAAGAAGAAAATTAATGCCATATTTTCCACATTGTGTTAACTTATTTAAATGTAATGAGAACAATAGAAAGTTTTGTATAATTGTCTATTTTAAAGATTCTGTGTGGGGCAAAAAGTTCCTAAGATAAAACAAATCTCTCCCCTCCATCCTTTTAAAAACCTGTTTGGTGTTGCTTCCCCAAACTGTGACACCAACTTTATATAGTCTAGTTCTTGTTTTCAAAATTACAAATTTTCCATCTTTGTCTTCAGTCCCAATTATATGTTACGTGGCCCCATCTACTGATATTTGTAGACCAGTCATTTTTAATAGCAAAGGAACAAATGTTCTTTATTCAATTAGTTTACTATTTTTAGACTGGGCATTTTAAAAGATACACTTTTGAATCTGTAGAAGGTCCATCTCCTTACAACATGAACGTATCATGCCTTTGGTTTAGAAGGCAGCATGGTGATGGGAAGAGTTCCTCTCAGAACTGCAGCACAGCCCTGGAACCAAGACTCCAAAGTCCCAGTTGGAAATACTGTGGTGAAAAAGGGAAGATTAATATCTTGGAGGCCTTCTAGCTCATGTTATATTTACTTACTTGCTTTTCCAAAAATGTGTACTTTGTCAACTGGAATTTAGGTTGTCTTTATATACATGACCACTTGAGTCACTGTGTATAGTCAGTCATTCTGTGATCAAGGTCAGTGGTTAAAATGACTCTCATGATCACTTCTTTGACCAGAAACGTGGCCATGTTACTCAGGTAGGCCTGGCCTTAAGCATACTTTTTGGTTTATAGTTCTTTATATTTTTAAAGCAGTGGTCAGTAGTCCTAGCCTAAATATAGACCATTGATATACATCAAAATTTGTCCCAATTATTTGGTCTAATGACCCCATTGTTATGGTTAGAAGGGTACAGACTTAAATATTGAATTTGATATTTCTCAATAAAATGAAGCTTAGTATTTCAAATATATTTTTTGAGAAGTTCTAGGTTAAACAGCTTGTAGAGTGTATTATGTAAGTGATTGTAGAGGGAAAAGAGAAGAGATGTTTCAGTATGGGATCCCAGGCAAATGGCAGTATGTTTGAGGATTGCCTTCTATATGAAGCATTGTGGATGACTTAACCTCAAAACTGCAAAGCAATAGTTAGATGCAGAAATTAGGAGTTGTCATTCAAGAAAATTTTTTTTTCTGGAAAATGCAAGACATTATCAGTAACCAGAGGAAGTCCATAGCAGGCCATGACTGAATCACTAATAAATTACAGAAAAGAAGTCAGGGGCCCCCTGCCAAATTGTGCCTAAAGTCTCTCAACCAGAGACTGTTAATTCTTGTTTCCCCATCTACTTGTGTGATTTTATTTACATGAAATCACAGCGAAAGAGGGGAGACACTTTTTTTAAAAAAGTGATTGAATAAGTAGTCCTAGGTTTCAGAAATTTACTGCTACAATTTAAGTAGGAATTACTTGGTTCTTTAAGAATCAGTCTGATCAAAAGGGACCACTGCTTTGACAATCAACTCTAAATCCAAACAAGAAGAATACTTAGTCTAACCCTTTTTTAGCTCCTTTTAGCTCTTCCTTTCAATTTTTTTGGAAGAAACCTTTACCCTGACTGGCTTATACATACAAAGCCTTTGGGCATTCCTTTTATGAACCAGACACATTGAACCTTCATTCTCCTTGGTGATGTTTAATGAACCTTCATTCTCCTTGGTGATGTTTAAAGCCCTTAAGCTGAGAGGGAAAACCATCTTCTTCATTTGTAGTTTGCACTTCATTCAGTAGGCAATCTGGAAGCCATGTCGCTATATATGGGTATATTTTCTAAAGGTTACTACAAAAGTGAACATAATAGAAAATGGATGACTTTGTATTGAATTTATGCAATGGCTTTCAGTTTTAGTGTTTGGTTTTTCTGAATTATGTAATACAAGAATTAATTTTCTCTTAATCTCCTCATCTTTCAATCATTGGTAGATATCATAGACACGCAAGGTGCTTTATTCATTTCACACGAAATTCATATTCAGTTCTACTCAAGTCTTTCAATGACTTTTGTGCATCCCTTTCCCTGGAATTAAAGCCAGAATTCATGCAATTAGAAAATGGAAGTTTGGATGTATGAAGGTTCAGGATATTCTCTCAAATCATTCCTTAAATCAACCCTTACTGATGCAGTTGATATTAAATGCCTTTGGTTTTATGCCTCTTAGATATTTGACCTAGTTGGAACAGATGCTATCTGTGCTTCTCCATTGGTGAATCATTTAAATTTCTTTAAATGATGGTAGAGCTCTGGAATAGTCCAGTATTTTAATTTTTCACAGTGAATTTTATTTTAGTGTATCAAGGAATTCAACGTTTCTACCTTCCCTAATTCTAAGCTTATGATTACCCCTTGTCAGATCTTGAAACATAATATGTTCTGTTCATAGGAGTTTCTTCCTTTAAATCAGAGGTTCACAGCCTTGCCACTTTTGGCCTATATAATTAATTGTTGTGGGTGGCCATCCTGTATATTATGAAGATATTCAGCATCCCTGGCCCGGATAGATGCCAGTAGCTCCCCCTTCCCAGTTGTGACAGTAAAAGATGTCACCAGACTTTGCTATCTGGCCCTTGGGCAAAAAGTAGGAAGACATTTTCCTGTGGTTAAAAACCAGTGCTTTTTGCTCTGGTTCCTTTTGTCCCGGGTCCATTTATTTTTCATTCTAAGGCCATGTGCCACTGGAATTGTTATATGAGAGAATGTGCTGTTTTTAATAATCATGAGTGGGAGGAAATGGCCAGTAATGTTTTCCATTTTTGTAATGCTCATTCTCGTAAGTTTCACATAGTATTAGAAACTCAGGGCTGGAAGGTTCAGCTTATCTTTTTTCAACAGGGTCTCAGCTTTTATTTCTTAGCATCCTTGCTTATTAAGGACAGTGATTATTAACCTACCTCTCTGTTACTATCAACAGAATCCAATTTGTCTCTAAAGTTTAATATTTTGCATACACTTTAGAAAATATATAATCATCGTCTAATGCACAAATTTTTGCAGACTATGACCATCATTAAATACAGAAAAAATATTACGTAAAATTTATCATGAAAATTAGGTTGTATAAACATTGATTTTGAGTGTGACCAGAAGAATGTCTGCCTGCTCATGATAACTGGTCGATAACTTGGTATGTTTACTGGATCCATTCCACGTGAAAAGGTTGTAGAAGACACTTAAATGTGGTTCTTGAGTGGGAATTTCCACTTGAATGAGTACTTCTGAAACTTTTTGCCAGTGGTCTGAAAGCATAGGAGGCATGAGAAATGAATCTTGAGTGTTGTCTGATTCTCAGAGTTGGTAATATGTAAATAGAGTTGGAATCTTCTACCTGGGTTTGTCTTAGAACTAAATGGAAAAGCATAGGGCCAGCTCAGACGGTTGTATTTAATCAATTGCTTTTAAAAACTGGGGAGAAGTGTCAAAGCATTGATCATGAGTAGTTAGTGCCTCTCTGACTGCGGTCAGACCATTAGTTCATTAAGACCTTATACATTGTTAAGTATTGGTAAAAGGAGAAAACTGCTAAACTGCTAGTTATCCCTTACCAGAAATTCATTCCTTTGAATTTGGCACCCACTTTCTTTATTTGGGCTGTTTAATGTGTCTGTAAATAATGAAACAAGATTCAGTATAGCAGAGGTGGTGCTGCTTCAGACACAGCTAATGTGACCACATTCCTTTGTCTTTACTCCAGCATGTCTTACTGCTTTCTTTTTGTAAAATTATAAAATAGGTGAAATTTTTTTAAAAAATTAAGAATTATATGTTTAAAAACACTGAACTTTTAGAACTATCTGTATCTCTATTCCTACCTACTTGTTAATCAGTGACTGTAAAGGAAGGACACTGAAAGGAAGAACTAGACTGAGTCTTAATCTTCTTCTAAGACAAATTGGTAAAACTTCACTCAACACTTGAAGTCCACAATTGGATTCTAGCTAATATCCCATATTGGGCAGGTTAGAGGGAACCAACCAAATTATGATCTAGCAAATTTAACTTGGGGGTGGGAGAGAGTAAACTATTTTTCAATAGATTTGCACTTTAAAATTATGAACTGGATGTTAGTGGAAAGTACTTCCAAAGGACAGGTGGATAAATACCTAACCTGTACATAGAGTTAAGAGAATCAAACCTTACCCTTGCTCATTCTAAGCCCACATGAGCAGCTGCTGTCTGTCAGTGTAATCAGTCAGGATTTCCCAGTTTCCATGCTTGGGTCATCTTCCATGTCTGCTACATCTGAGATCATCCCTCTGAGGATGTGTCAAGTAATTCTGCTCAGATAGAAACTTTGTGAGTTATCTTTCCCACATCTAGTTTTTAAAAATTAATTTAGATGTTGACTAAATGAAGTTGTGGCGAAGTTTTTCTGAGGTGCTACTGCCTCAAGGGATCACTCCTATCAAAAGACTGGTGAATTTGAAGCTGAAGAGAATCTACTTATAGCCAGCTACTTCTCCCAGGTTATGTGTTATGAGTGTGAGCGTCATTCCAGTCTTTGGCTTCTAGAAGCCACTCCATTCTGAACATTTTGACATCTACTAATACTCCAGTAATAATCTTTTATACATGGGAGTTTTGTAGCATGACTTTATGACTAAACTTATTGTGTGTTAAATTATTTAGAAATATTGAGTTTCTGAATGTTATTTTGTGAGACTTGTTTTAAAATAGTAATAAATTGTGTTATTTTATAAATAGTGTCTTTGTTATGTGATCATTAGTTTTAGCTAATTAGAGCAACTGTGTAAACTTCTCATGATACTCACTTCTGAAGAAATTCAGATTTTGGATGACATAGTCCATGCAGCTATGGATTGGGTGGATGGGTGGGCGGAACAGGAAGCGGCATAAAAGGAGAAAATGGAGAGAGAGAAAGAGTGAATGTCTCATTTCTTCATGCCTAACTTTAGTACCAGTGATAACCTCCTTTCCCAGGTTAATAAATCTTTAATCATTTCAAATTTTTTGGCTCCTGGAAAGAGTGCTTCCTGGGAGAGCAAATTACTACTGCAATTGACCATTCCTGCCCTTGCCTTACTTCCAGAAGTGCACAAAGTAAAGCTCAAGATGAGATGCAAGGACAACTAGCAACATCAGTAACATTACACATTTTGTCAGCATATATTCTTTGCTATCAGGCAAAATATAATTTTGGTCATAGAATAGACTGTGACACAGTCTCTACCTCTTATTCCATAGTTCTTTGATTATGCAAGATTTTTAAATTTCTAATTTGTTCTAAATAGCTATACATGACAACACATTTTGACACACCATACATAATTGGAGTATAATTTATCATTCTTCTGGTTGTACATGAAGTAGAGTTACGAAGTCATGTAATCATATATGCATAGGGTAATAATGTGCGATTCATTCTACTATCATTCCTACCCAGGCCCCCTCCCCCTCCTTTCACTCCCTCTGTCTAATCCAAAGTAATGAGGATGTTTCTTGCTGCTATCCCTTCTTAAAATTTTCTGAGCCTACAGTTCATAGCATAAACAGCTCAGTTATTTCTGGTCGTTTTTTAAGAACAAAGGATGGGCATCTAGGATCCTGACATCATTTTATTTTTATATATTGCAATAAATATGTACATGTGCACATGTAGACACAAACAATTGTTACATATGATTAAATAAAAGGAGTCAGACCTTACCTCCTAGGATGTAATTGATTCTGCAGCTGTAAAAAGACACAGGGCTGGTTGTACACTTGCAATTGCCTATAATGTGTAAGGCCTTGGGTTTGAACCCCAGCACTAAAAAACAAACAAACAACAACAAAAAAAAACGGAGCAATAGTATATAACCCAAATGTACATACAAGCATAGAATGTTCCTAACATATTGGGTGAAAAATGAAAAACCTCCCTTTACTTTTAAAAAATGTAATATGTACGTGTGTACAGATTGGGAACGTGGCTGGTTGGCACATGATAACAGGATGTGTGTATAAAGTGTGTGAAATGAAATGTGTGCTGGGGGATGGAAGGCTGGCATAGTATTCTTGTGGAAGAACAACTTAATGACTGAGTACTGAGCAGGAGCCTGGAGCCTGAATGAAATGTGATGCCCAGGATGGTAGGGGAAATTGAGTCTGGTAGGTGTGTGTGGGGGGGGAGACATGGCAAATGATTGTCAGGGGAAGTGAAGACATGCATATCTGTTGAGGGGGATGAGGACATAAAAAGGGTGATGTTTGTAAGGGGAGGAATGACACAGAGGAACGGTTGTGATGTGGGACATAAAGGTACAAGTCTATAGACAAATCTAGAAAAATATCAATATTACTCTTTATAAACCCCATGCCATATGAACATATGCACAAACATACGCACATGTGAATCAGCTATAATTTTAAAATCTTATTAAGAGAAACCCCAAAAGAACACTTAACATCTGTATTTTTACTTCATGGATATACACCTGCAGTCATTCAATCTCTACAGCCAAATATGTTTTTAAGCCTTTCAACTTTTTATATCTTCTAGATATGAAATGGCTTCTGTAAAAATTAACTTTCCACCGAATGATGACTTAATTATAAGTTATTTCTTCAGTTAAGCAATTTTAATTGCAAAGTGACTTTAAAAGGGAGGAAAAAAACATTACCAGATAACCTCCTAAATCTCATTTCAGAATTTTCTAGAATTCTGTATTAATACATATAACTGTTAACCTTCTAACATTTACCTTGAAGAAAACATGTAAAACCATGCTATTTAAGGTCACATAGTAATTAAAATTAAGATTAGATAGATACTTCTGACAGGGGAAAGTCTTCATAAGAAAAAAATATAGAGACCTGAGTTACACTGAAAATTTTTATACATGTCAAAAAAATGAGAAGTCCATAAAACTTTTAAATTATTTTTATTTGTATACGTCTATTTGATATAACTTCAAACTTTAAACACTTAGAATCAGCATGAACAAGAATTATTTCGTAACAAAGACCAGAAGTGGAGGAATGGGTTACTCATACCAACCTCCCCATGCGATTTATCTCATCCTGTGAAAAATTGATTTACACAGCTCCATAACTGCAGTATTTCCATACACCCCATTTTGTAGTCTCAGAATACTTTTCAGTTAAATTGATGCCAAAAGATGAGAAATAAATCTGCATTGTAAAGCTGAGCAATAGCAACTAATAAATTCGCATTTAGTTCCATTAATATAAATCAGGAGCAATTTACAGTAAACAGAAACTAGTCACGATATTAGTAACAAATATAACAGTTCACATTTTTACTGAACACTTCCCGTGAGCCAGGCCCTGCACTAAACATCTGAACATGCAATTTCACATTTATCTCAATAGGAAGTGTCACAGGTTCACGTTTTTTCACGAAGGACGATGATGCCACGATGACAGCTTGCACCAATCATTGTGTCCAAGCCTTTCTCTGGCGTTTTAGCCAGCATGACCCACTTGTATCATTGCTGCAGCTTACAGTGCTAGCTTGCACAATTTTACGGATGTTACAGGGGTATGCAGGCCTGACTTCCCCGCCCTGTCCCACCCACCCCGGGGGGGAAAAAAAAAACAAAATAAAAGGCTAAGTCTTCACTACTCAAGAGACACGCCTGAAGACCGCACAGGTATAACGAAAGCAGCTGCGATCTAGGTCTGCACTAAAGCCCCCTCTCCTGATACTTAGAAGTGCCCCTCCAGGCCTAACTGCAGTAGAGCGGCCTCAGCCTCCTCCTCTTCCTCCTTGGCCTCCTCCTCGCGGATCTGCACCAGCAACTGGAAAAGGTTAGGGGCCGGCCCTTCCGCAGCCCCCGTCAGCCACAGCTGCCTCCGGATGGCCCCGCTGTGGTTGGCCCCGGCAATGACCTGCTCCAGGCGGGCCTGGTTCACGTTATCTTTATCAATGGCCCCCTTCTCCACCACCTTCTGCAGCAAAGGCTCCAGACGAATGACATAAGCAGATAACTTTTCTCCTGGGTTCTGGTAAGTGTTCAGAAATCTGACCTGCGCATCCCTAGAGCTCTCCACGCTCCCAAACACCTGCTCAAGCGCCTTCAGGCATTCCGCGGTGGTTATGGCAGGGTTGTTGGTCTTGAGGATGCGAATAACATCAGCGGCGGGGCCTCTCAGACTCTCCATCAACCGCCGCCTCTTTTCTACATCAGACACCTGCCACTCTTCTATGACCTCATTAGTGTGCTCCAGCCACGGATCAAAGGTCTCCTCTCCAGGCCCAGGGATGTCCCTCCCAGAGAACAGAGTCAGCTTCTTGTACCATATGGACTCAACAAGAGGCTGAATAACATTATCCAAAATGTAGTTGAGCATCTCTGCTGGCATTTCTGGACCTGGGGCGGGAACAGGGTTCTGAAACCCAAGGACACGGGCAACATCCTGCACGGTCCACCCCTCTCTAGCTAGAAAGAGGTGCAACCTTTCTAAAAACTCAGCATCGGAAGTGGGGGGCTTAAAGACCACTTTCCAAACTCCTCCTTTACCTGGCATCTCCCTGGGGATCGCGGCGTAATCTACCGCCCCAGTGAGCTCTAACAAGGCTGCTTTCGCATTTTCTTCCCTCCAGAACATTCTCCCAAGTACTCGATAGGGTACCTGAGGCATCGCAGCCTGGAGGGTCTCTTCGATTTCAGCCTCATCACAGTTTACTGGGATCCCCCAGACCAGCAGAGCTCTCTGGGAGTTCACATCCATCCCCCTGCACCAGTCTTCCAACAGTGTCATTGCCATTTCCCCAACTATCAAGGGCGCCAATTATACAAATATGGATTAGACTGGCTCACCGTAATCTGCGATTTAGAACAATGCGACACACCCTCCAAGCAGGACAGAGGGCGACAAGCTTCACGCAATCACAATTAACAAATGACACCAAAGTTCTGGTCTCGCCCGTTTCCTGCCCCCAAAGTCAGTTAGCCGGCGGGTCCGCGCAGCTGGGTCTCGGGAAGCTCAGTCACGCGGCGGTCGCCATCTTGCGTCTCGGGTTGGGGTCCGCAGCCAGCAGCCGGGGCGTCGCGTCGTTGCAGTGCAGAAGGCGAGAAGGAAGGGCGGGAGGCGAAGGCACGAGCCTCAGGGCCGGGGATCGCCGAGTGTGCTCGCGGGGCGTGGCCGCTCCTCCTGCAGCAGCGGCGGCTGGGCGCTCAAAGGTGCTCCAGAAGTCAATCGGACTTCGGGGCCGAAGCCTGGCCTTCAGGTGGCCTTCAGGTGGACCAGGAGCGGGTCCTCGGCGGACCGAGGGAGAGACAATCCGCGACCGCAGCCGGGTCAGCCGGCGAGTGGCGGCTTCGCTGGTGCGGGGACCCTTCCGGGCAGCGAGGACTGGGGACCGAAGCAGCAAAGGCGCGGGAACAACAGAGAAAAGGGACTGGAGGCAGCGGAGGCGAGGGCGGGCAGAGGTGGCCCAACACCCGGGCCACAGCAGCTGCAGAGGCGATGGCGCGTCCTTCTCAACAACCTGCCGCGTAGTTACTGCCGCAGTGGAAGGCGGGGCCCGCCAACTAACACTCTGCACTCCGCCCCTACTGCCCCCGCGGTGGCGCTCGCGCCAGTGTAGCCATGGCAACGGTGTCCCAGACGACGCGAGACCCGAGCGCTCTGGCAGGTCGAACGGTTACTATGGTGCCAGCTAGGGGCTCCAGCATTCTTTTCTCTTATGGCCATTTCCTTTTTCATATTTTCCAGATTCTTTTTACAGTAAACAAATACTGCTAAGCACCATGTTTAAAAATTAATAATTCTGGAGTGAATGTCGATGCTAATGTTAAAAATGCATGCATCACGGTGGACTTTTCTCCTCGGGTTACTCATTCATACTAGGCACGCTGCTTGATGTATATAAAAATACTCTTCAGCACCCCAGCTTCCAGGTACCCGCTAGCAACAGTCTGTATCCTTTGTATTCGTTTAATCCCAATGAAACGAAAACGTCATAGTATGCCATCTTTATGTTGGTGTACAAAACATTAACTTAAGGCTTCTTGTCTAAATTTTTATAAAAAGATCGATCTATCTATTCAGCTATCATCTTGCACGGTAGCCAGGCAAATAGTGTGTTATTTCTCCTGTTCTGGCCTTTTTGACAATAAACTGGTAAAACAGAATCTTTATGGCTCAAAAATGTCAAGTAATCTCCCTTCAAACAAAACAAGCCTACTTACATCAACCCCAGATGGTGAAAATCCCCCTAAAAAAAACAGCATTCAACTCTGAATTTTTAAAACCTTATTTAATAAAAGGTTTAAAGATACAGAAGAACATTCAAAAGTAAATAAGTTACATAGGTACATTACAATCACATCAGCAAGATTCTCTTTAGTGTATTAATTTTTTATAAAAAGCACACAAAAAATAAAATCTTCAGTCTGGTCTATCACAACTGTACAGCAAAAGAGGTAATATTTATATATATATATGTACACTATTTTAATATGTAACAGTCTTTTTAAAAAAGGGTGCCACAGGCAGCAAACACACAAAAGGCAGTGTCTGATCATTTTTGTTTCAAAATAAAAGGAATATACTTATTTATATGCTACTAAATTTTTTTTTTACAATAATTACAAACTGTCAAGGCTGTTCCTGTGCTCTGTCCCCTCCAACAAGGCCTTCAGTTTAGAGACAAATGAGGAAAAAGGTGAATTAGCTGCAAATTGTTAGAGGCAAATATTAACACAGCCAAATATGGGGTGGACACAAATGTTTTATAAAAATATGCATACTTCCTGTAAACCTAAGGAGTTAGGCTTGCCAGTCTGGTAATAAATAACATCCCAGAAAAGTGAGCCCCATTGAAAACATTGAAACAGCTGAGGCTTGTATATGTGTTGTATTCCTCCTTCATCTTAACATCTGGCACATAAGAAAGAGGTTAGGTCACTGAGGCATTTAAATATAGGCAATCCCTTTAAACATAAGCAGCACAAGACCTCTGTGCCAGGGGTGGAGGTTGGGTGGCAGAGGGGTGGGTGTGTACCTTAGCTGTGAGAGGGGCTGCTGAAGGCATGGAGGACAGTAACGATGGCACTGTCTCCTTGGATGGGTAAGAGACCTCAGAAATGGTCTGGAACACAGGCACTAGGTCAGTTTCACACCCTTAGCTGAATGCTGATGGAAGCCGGGAGATGGATATGGATAAATGGTATGGGGGGACATTTATAAAGCTGAAGGTGTTTGTCACTTAACTTCTTAAAGCAGAGCTCTGAATAGGAGGGAAAAACAGCAACAAAAGACAAGCCTAACATGTTCACAGGGAGAAAGCACCATTAAGGGTATACATATCTATGCCAGCTTCTACACTTGCACCTATTTTATTAACAGGTCACTCACCACAACTGCATCTGCCCTCTAAACATTTCAATTTTCACACTGCATTCTAGATACGAATGTATACTGAAGCATGTGCCCTCCTAAAGTAGGGACTCTGATCTGATTAATACCAAGAGATACCATCTTGATTTTCCCTGGCTACATTTGCCTGGTCTCATTTCTGTGAGCTTAGAATAGAATCACTTTCTTATTCAAAGAGATATCCAAGAACTAGATGTTACCACTGAACATAAGTCTCACGTGACTGAAGGTTTCTGTTATCACATGTTCATAAAGGGGCCTGAAACCAAGTATGGTTTAAAGAGAACAAACCATGGGAAACATAGGTAGCACTTTGGGGCTAAGCTGTGAAGGCACTCATTATAGAAGTGATTTAGAAGAGAGCCTTAATTTGCTGCCCTCCTGCTTCTAGAGGGTACACCAGATTTTGCCATCTTGGGACTTTTAGTAAACTAATAAGGAAGCTGGAGATCTAGGTAGTTGTCCAGGAATCTTACTCCCATAGCTGGGGTTCTATAGAACCATATTAAAGTACAAATTAATATGAAAAATACCTGATAGCATAGTTAAAACCCTCTTTCATTCACAGTTACTGGAATAATGACTTTAGCCTATCTCCTGAAGAGTCTCAGAATAAATCCTTTTTGGATCCTCCCTAGTATGTTGCTCTCTCTTATACACATTCATTTGGAATTTCTTTTGCACAATTAAAGTTGGGTAATGAGATCAGAAAATTAACTTAGGCCCCCTATGGGAATGGCAAGTGACTGGGCCTCCAGAACCTTCTGGTCTTTTCACTTCAGTGATTCCATGCCAAATATGGCTTCTTCGAGCCAGAATCCAGGCCTGGTAAACAATACTAGAATTGTGACCTTCTGCCAGCTCCCTCAGGCAATTTCAAAGTACAGAAGGGTCAGCAACAAGAACTGCCTTTGATCTCCCTCACTCCTCCTAGTCTCTGTGTGGCTTCGGTGACACCCTCCTCTTTTCCACCCTCTCTCAATGCTACTATCATTCCTTTTGGCAAGAGCTACCAAAGCAACAAGATGAGGAACCCTAGGGCCTTGGGGTGGAGATGGGGATGTCAAGAAGGTGCCATGTTTTGGGATAAATGCACTTGGGCCTCTGGAATGCATGAGGCCCCTGGTCCCTGAGAGGATGTCAAAAATTAAATATTAAGAATAAATAAATAGCTCCCAAATGACCCGAGTCAAGGAATGAAGGCTCCTGTTCAATCTAGTTAGGAGACCTCCCCCTCCCAGGGAAGGATCCAGAAATCTCCAGAGTGCAGGACTGGGGCTGGGCTATGGAGATCAACACTGAGTGGGGTGCAGTGGGGTTAGGTGGCAACTGCTGAGGACAGGAGAGAGGCAAGCAGGGAGCTGGCACCAAGGAGGAACAGGCTGGGCCTCACCAGGACCTGCCTGAGGCTAAGCTCCCTCAGCAGCCTCCAGAGCCCCAAAGTATTTGGCAAAAAGGAGAAAAGCAGGAAGAGCCAGGCTTGTCAGAAGCCCCCCTGGGGCCTCGCCCTGCAGCTCCCAGCCTCTGGACAGTTCAGGCAGAGAGCAGAGGAAGGGAACACTGGCTCCTTTCCCAAATGTTTGAGAAAACTTTGCAGACCCAGCAGGGCTGCTAGCAAGCAGCAGAGGGACAGTACCTGTCGGCAGCTTCGCTCCAGGGAGGAGGTAGCCTGAAGACAGGGTCACTGGAGCAGCTCAGGCCTGGGCACGGCTGTGCAAGGACAGCACAGGTGCCAGGCTACCACACTCCCTCCCAGTAAGTCCCATTATCTGGGCTTGAGGGAAGGCAACCTTCCAGAACCTCTGGGGAGGGGAAATAATGCTGCAATGGGAGTGAGCTTGTGCTTGGCTCCATGGTGGCTTCCAGGAGACGGAGGAGGTGGGAGGCCAAAGAGGAGGGAAGAGGCTGTGCAGCAGCAAAGAGGCAGCAGAGATCTGAGAGGCAGCTGGGGGCCGCCCCCCGGGGACCAGGACTCTCACAGTTCCAGGAACCAGGAAAGCAGAAGGACAACTTCCGACAGACTGAATGCAAAGAGAACTGGATCCTGCAGCCCTTACCACTGCTCCTGGGGCCTTTATAAAAAAAGAGCCATTTATTTCACTGTCTTATTTGTTTTGTTGATACAAGTCCACGTGACCCGGTCCTCACTCCCTGCCCGGGCCTTGGGAGAGGGGCAGGTGGCCGCTCAGCCCTTCTCGCCCGCACCGCTCTCTTCTCGCAGCGCCTGCGGGTGCGGGGCGGCAGTAGCGGCGGCGGCGGCAGCGGCGGCCTCCTTCTCCCTCAGCCTCAGCGCCGCAGCCTTCTTCTCCTGCTCCGCGTGGCTCTTCATGTGCGCGCTGCGGCTCTTCACCTTGTAAAACACCCTGCGGAGCGGAGGGGCTCAGGTAAGGGGACGGTCCCTCCCCCGAACCCTGGGGAGAGGGCTGTGGCGCCCCCGCTTCCCGGACTCGGGCCGGGTCCTTCCAGTCCCTGACGCCACTCTTGGCGGGACGCTCCTCAGTAGCTTCCCCGCCCCCAAAGCTGTTCGGTGACGTCACTGCCCTGGAAACTCGCCGAGCCAATCAGAAGACAAGTCGAGGGCTCCCAGACGCTTCCCCTAATCCACTTCCGCCCCGCCCCCTCGGATCGTCACCGGGTCCCCGCGTGGCTGCACTGGCCATCTTACCTGCCACATTTTTTACAAGGGAAAGTGTTCTCCTGATTTTGAGTCTTATTAAATGTCTCTGTTTTTTTCTTCCTCTCCGAAAAAGACAGTGCCCTTCGAGACTTCCCTGGTCCCTCCCGTGGCTTCTCTGAAGCCTGGCCACCGGCCGACTCAGGGGCATTGGACTCGTGGCTTCGGAGAATAAGAATGTCATTGGCCTGGAGAGAAATCAAGGAGTTGAGTGATTCGGGGGAAACATAGATCCATAATTCTGGTATCTCAGGGAACAGAGGCCCTTAAAGGTCATATACTCCTGCCAAATTGTCACCTAGCACCTACTTGAATCCCTCCAGTGACAGGGACCTTACTATCTCTCCAGGAGCCCACCGGGTCTTGGGTGGCCTCTAGCTCTATCATTTACAAAGTTGCTGGCACTGTAATTCCAGCAGCCTTTGTGGAAGCCC